AAAAAAAAGGCCTGACAACACAACATATTTTCAAAATTTAACTGGGTTCCAACTATGATTCACAGGCATCCAACACAAAAAGACACCCTGGCCTTGATACCTCTCACCCTAGACAATCCATTGCCATCACAAGGCCAGTTAATGTGAAACGGGTGAATATGAGGGCATAATAGGGCCCAATAGGGCGTTATGAAGGGGCACTGTTGGCTCGGGACCTGGCAGCCCTTTAAGTCCCGAGAAATGTTGGTAGCAGCCCCAGGGGCAAACCGGAACCTACGAGCTGACATTAGTAACGATTAGTAGTACTACTGGCTTATATAATTAGATTACGGAGACGAAAGCCACTCCACTCGTGTGGGAGAGTCATGAGGAGTCTTTTCCAAACCTTACAGACGCACAGAAATCGGAGAACTAAGTCGAGATCCAAAACCTGGCAGATCCTGACAGGAGTTTGCCAAGATATGGGCAGCATGTGGCTTACCACCGCAGCCTTTGTCACCAGACCTGGCTGGACCTGTTCCTGGGTGAAACTAAGTCCTGGTTTTTGCTTTGGGAGGGAAGCAGGTTTTCACATGCCAAAGGCCAGTCCAAACTGGCCTCTGAAGCAGTGTAAAAATCAGTCGATTGCTTGGCACATATGCAGTTGCAGCAGTTTTATTGTACAATTGTCATAGATCGGGGACTGAATTTCCTCTATAAAGCATGGACCCTCAGTGACTCAGGAGGCAATGTTGACCATTTTATAGAGGGAATTCCTACCCCGATCAATTGTCCAGGTTTATTGCGATGATCCTGATGAGCCGCTCTTGAGAAGCAGAGCGACTGCGTGCTGCAGATCCTGCGCTGTGGCAGCTGGCAGGGGCCTGAAAGCACGGGAGTGTCGAGAGAGGAGTGCATATGGATAGCTTTTCTGAGGACAAGCATTGCTGTGAGCTTGGAAGGGATTTCTCAGGTTTACATCCCGCCCATTTTCGACTCCTCGGGCATGGAGGTGCTCACCTTTGACAGTCTCGAGGAGGCAGAGGCAAAGCTGAACTCCCTGAAGCTCGGAGAAATTGACGAGGCAGAAGACCAAGCTTGAAGGAACAGGTGTAGAATGCGTCGCCGACTTTTATGATGTTTTAATTTACTCGAAGGAGCTTGTATGCGTGCTTCAGTCTGCTTCATTCCGCTGGTTTTGGCGCAGGGTGGCGGCATCATTTTCAAGGCTGGTGTTCCTGTTGCCGAGAAGTTGGTGTTGAAGTACTGCGAGAAGGCAAGGAAGTGCAGAAGCACAAGAATGCACGGACCAATGTGACACTTTTGATGTATCCCGCACCCGGATCCTTAAACATTGCAAGACTTCAATGCCAGGAAGACTTCCATGGATTCCTCAAGGATGTCACCAAAGAACCTGAGCGGCCTCTTGAGCGGTCACTTGAGGACAACATCAAGGCACTTTCAGCAGGTGAAATACAAGTTACGGGTTTTTCTTAAGAGCTCATGTGGCTGACAGGCTGTGACAGAAGCTTTGCTTGAGCGGATCAATGAACTGAAGAAGCTGGCACCCGAAATCGCACGGCTCAAGGCAGACGCACAGCATCCTGTGGTGCTTTGTCACTTCTATTTGCATTTCACCGCGGTTGATCAAGTCAAGCTTTGAATTTTGAGCTTGCTTTGGCGATTGATACTGGTGAAATTTGATGGCATGATTTCAGTGATGTAAGAGGATGACAGAGGGTGACATGTAGTGACCATTGTTGCAAGCGGTTCAAGTATCGTGTGTGTCTATACAATATACATATACATATGTATATATATGCCCAGTGTTTTTATATGGCACATATTTATAGTCTTGGCTTGAGCCTTCCAAAACGTACCTGGGCAGCAGTAGACGTAGACGTAGACGCAGGCCAAGAGAGCAACATGAAGGATTTGGACGTTTGATACTTGGGCTAACCTGGGCTCAAGCATTAGCTTTCTGCTTTCGGTTTAGTAGCTAGAAACCCTGCTCCACGCATGGGTGAAGATGGCGCTGAGCCGGGTGAAAAGCCGGAGATCACCGAGATAGAGATCGCAAACAAGGAGGATGTTGTGCAGGCACCCAAGAAGACGCTCCCGCGACTAAGTCCCTGGGAGAGGCTCTTTGAAATCGTGGCCACTTTGATCACTGGTATCGTTTTTATCGCCAAGCTGTTGGAACCATTGTCCATTTTTATCGCTTCTTGCGCCGTCGTATGGCTTGCTTGGTGCACCTTCCAGTTCTGCAGACATGGGATCCGGATCCTGTTTCTTTGGGGGGTGCGCATTGACCAGCCGAATTTGCGAAAGAGCTTCCTGATCCCAAGTCTGTTTGCAGTTGCTGCACTGATATTTATTTTCATCGGTGCTGCTGTGACAAATCAGGAGATCAGGTTTGACAACTGGCACTTGTGGGTGATTCTTGCGCTCTATCCTTTCTATGGTGTGTTGCAGCATGTGATGTTGCAGTCGTTCCTAATGCGAAATTTAAGCTGGTGTATCACTGGAATGGATGACTGCTCGGTTCTCGACGTTTTCCTCAAAAAGCCTGCGCTCAAGCACTTGATGGCTGTTTTCGCATGTGTGCTGGCTTCCGCTACGGCCTTTGCCTTTGTCCATTGGCCCGATCCGTGGTTGATTGCTGGCACTGGTGTCATGGGAGTTCCATGGGCAATTGAATACTTGCTGCACCGAAATATCTTGCCATTGGGCTTCTACCATGGTGTTCTGGGCACCCTGTTTTACTTTTGGTTCATGGGCAGGGATCCTTTGCATGGGATGTTCTGACCACAGAGCCAATTCGAAACCCACAAAGAAAGCCAAACCGCAAGCAGAAAAAATGGGCGACTTGTGACTGCGTTCTCTCACGCATTGTCCAGTTTTGATTCGACTCCCAACCGTTTCGCAGGGTGAGTATGAAGGCCGACCTGAAAGGCCCTCCATGGCCTATGGCAAGCCGTGTATGGCCTTGGTGGAGACTGGGTGGAGTTTGGCCAGTTGTCTCACACTTCCCGGCATGGGGCCTCTAACGGAAATCCATCCCGACCAAATTCCATTTATCATCTCATTACTCATTACTCCTTACCTCTCACCCTTGTCACCTCAGCTCACTGACTTTTCCTACCCTTTCAGTGATGGGCTTCCTGCTTCTCATTTTCAGTCTGCGAGCGCCTCCCCTGGAACACTGCGAACGCATTCAGAATCTAGAAAAGCTTGCTGGGGTCTATAGTGGTGTAGGTTTGGTGAAGCCATTTCTTCATTCATGGTGGAGATGTTCATCGCAGGAGTTGTCAAAGCTCTTCCCAGATTTGGTGCAACTGGGTGGCTGCTGCAAGCCACCGCCTTGAGGCACATTTGGTCATCTGGTAGGCGACTGGCGATCACAAATGTGGATGCCATGAAAGCCAGACATTGATTCGCTCACGGAAAAAGGGCTTAGACTGCTTCTTTATACAATGAAAAGAATGCAAAATAAAATTACATATAAATAATATATATATATATATTTTATTATCTGTGCTGTTCATAACCAATCCTAATCCCCACCGGATTACGGATTAGGTTTGTTTACGGATTGGATGGGTTGAGCAGATTGCGGATTAGGTCCAGGTTGTTTCGTAAACCACCGTTCCGAAACATTTCCAGATGCCTGTGCAGATTTTACATCACATGTTGGGGTGTTGGCCTGGAGCAAGCACCCACCTTGTTCTCTTCGAACATCCCGATTCCCGCTGTTGAACCATGCCGCAGCGGAACCTGCTAATGAGCCAGCCACAACAGCAGCAACAGCAGCAGCAAGGGCTTGCCGCACACGAAGCTGAGGCGGGGCGCAAGGGAGAACTACTACTACTACTACCACCACCACCACTACTACTACTACTGCTACTACTGCTACTACTACGACGACGACGAGGATGACGACTACTACTACCACTACCACTACTGCTGCTGCTGCTGCTACTACTACTACTACTATTACTACTGCTAGTACTACTACTACTACTACTACTTCAACTTCAACTTCAACTTCGACTTCAACTTCAACTTCAACTGCTACTACCACACCAGTGACCTGTGGGATGATAGTAACCCCCCAAAGCCCCAAGCCCTTGTTTTGACAAAAGTACCGCATTAGGGAGTTACTTTGACAATCCATTTCAAGATCAGAACTCGGTGGGAGAGAGCTTTCCCTAAGTCCAATCCAAACTAACCCCCTCAAGAGGCAAATCTGGGCAGAACCCTCAGACGGGTGAGTTACTTTGACCATCCATGTCAAGATTAGGACTCGGTAAACTTGAGCTTTCCCCAAGTCCAATCGTAACTAAGGCAGAAGTTTCCGCGCGATCGTCAGCTATGTACAGTGGTGCTGGTCCAGACGGGTCACCTCACCTCGTGGGCCAGGGCCATGCAGGTGGACACTGGAGAACTGGAATCTTGGCTGATCTTGGCGATCACCACGGACTTGTTGAACCTGTTAAAGCGGGTCAATGTCCAAAGAAGATGTGGGTGAGAAATTGAGATAGGGCGCGGCGGATGCATGCCACGACCTGTGCCTGTTTTCCGCTCACGCGAGGAACGAGCAGAGTTGCTCTGGTCTAACCTCCTCGGCCTCCCCCGTTGCCATCTCCCCTGATGGCTGCGCAGCCAGCACTTGACTCTTTGTGGCATCGGCCCTTGCGCGCCAACCCGTTTGCCAACTTGCTGTGTGCACTGACGGCGGCGCTTCTCTGCGCCCAAAGTGCTTTTCTCCGCGTAATGGGGCAAATGCCGATCTTTTAGGCGAAGCATGTGTCTGAATTCATTCACTGCATCACGGTACTCCCGCGCAGGTTCTTTGTACATCGGCCTGCGCGCATCAAAGAGCCGTGAAACCTCCACATTTGCGAAGCGGGCGTCGAGCTCTGCACGGACGACCTGGTCCAGCTGCTCCGCACACTCAACGACAGCATCCAGCGTGGCGGCGCTGAGGCGAAGGGTGCGCACTCTTCCCTTGAGGGGTGTATCGCGCTGTCCTGTGTCACATGGACGTGGCAGCAGAACTCTTCCAGCAGTGTTTTCTCAGCTACAGAATCAAAGCCCGATCGACTTGTCCTCTCTTGGCGGGTGGGAGGGGTCTGCAAAGCTAAAGCTTCACCTCACTGGGTGGGTGGGAGGGCCTGCAATGTAAAGCAAAAGCTTCACTGGGCGGGTGGGAGGGGCTTGAAGAATCAAACCCCTAGCACTTTTTCCAAAGCACTTCTATGACAACTCAGAGCACTTTTACAACAACAAAGGCTTACACTGATATTGCGCATAACAATCGCTGCCGTTGGGAAAGGGTCCCTGGGATTTTCAAGTTCCCCTCTCAAGGAAAGTCTAAAATAGTCTAAAGGACTCTGAGGACACGATGACAAGAAAACAACAAACATCAAGCTTGGGCTGAGGAACGCAGTCGGGGACTCCGTAGGATTATGTCGGGCGCGCCAGCCATAGATACAAGGAGCCAAAATAACTTTATAAAGCAAAAAAGAAAAAAGCAAAAAGCAACGCACACAAACAAGATGGAGCCCACGAACCCGAATGCAAACACGTTCAAAAAGCTACATATGTCCAAATGACACTCTTGTAGGACACTCTTGTGGGACACTCTTGTGGGTCACTCTTGTAGGAAACTAGTGTGGGACACTCTTACGGGACACTCTTGTGGGACACTCTTGCAGGACACTCTTGTGGGACACTCTTGTGGGACACTCTTGTAGGACACTCTTGTGGGATACTCCTGTAGGACACTCTTGTGGGACACTGTTGCGGGACACTCTTGTGGGACACTCTTAAGGGACACTCTTGTGAGACACTCTTGCGGGACACTGTTGCGGGACACTCTTGTGGGACACTCTTGTAGGACACTCTTGTGGGACACTCTTACGGGACACTCTTGTTGCACACTCTTGTAGGACACTCTTGTGGGTCACTCTTATGGGACACTCTTGCCGGACACTCTTGTGGGACACACTTGTGGGACACTCTTGTGGGACACTCTTGTGGGACACTCATACGGGACACTCTTGTGGGACACTCTTGAGGGACACTCTTGTAGGAGACTCTTGTGGGACACTCTCGTGGGACACTGTTGTTCGAAACTCTTGTGGGATACTTGTGGGACACTCTTGTGGGACACTCCTGTAGGGCACACTCTTCGTACGAGACTTCCTCCAAAAGTCACGCTGCGAGGCTGCAAGACGAGCGTTTCGTACGAGACTTCCTCCAAAAGTCACGCGCCAAGTCTCAAAAACGAGCGTTTCGTACGAGACTTCCTCCAAAAGTCACACGTCAAGTCTCCAAAACGAGCGTTTCGTACGAGACTTCCTCCAAAAGTCACATGTCAAGTCCCCAAAACGAGCGTTTTGTACGAGACTTCCTCAAAAACTCACATGTCAAAGTCTGCAAAACGAACGTTTCGCACGAGACTTCCTCCAAAAGTCCAGCGGAAACACCCATCGGAGCACACACATCACGCAGCCCTGCCAAGCAGTTTCGCAATTCCAGCCCCTCCAAACGACGCCCGCTCACACGCCAATCCCAATGTGACAGCGACATTCACCTCTACCACAACCCACAACCTCCCGATTCCCTGCGCCTGCCACGAATCTTTCCGCGTCCACATGTCTAACGCGCACAAAGTACTGCGCCTGCCACGAAATGTCACCTCCGTCACACATCGCAACCTCACGATTCCCTGCGCCTGCCACGAAAATCCCACTTCCACACCTCAAAACCCGCACAAAGTCCTGCGCCTGCCACGAAAAGTAACAATGTCATCTCATGTGAGCTTCAACAAAATTTGCACCACACCACACGTTTGGAATGATTTCGACCCGTTCTGAGCACACTCCCATCCACCAAAATCGGCATTTCAGCTGAGACTTGTCACGAAAACAGAGCTTCGATGCCACACCCTGAAACGCAAATCCCAATGGCACAGCCACATCCAACACCCCAAAAACACGACTCTCCAAACGCTAATCCTAATGGAACTGCGCAGCAATCTGCAGATCTCACCAAACGCTGCGCCTGTGCAGCGAAACGCATCACGTTGCTTGCGCGACATGTCTTTCTCATGCAAATCACAATGGAATAGCGGCGCAAACTGACACGGGACACATCCATGAAAAGTCACTTGCAAAAGCTTCCCCCAATGGCAGCGCCTTAGCGCTCTACCGCGGACGGTTGCGGACGGTTGCGAACGGTTGCGAACGGTTGCGGACGGTTGCGGACGGTTGCGAACATAGAAACAACGGGTCGCGAACAAGACTCCACCCCCAGACCCCCAAGAGTTAAACGAGAACCCTTCGCTGCGCATTCGGGAAAAAGAAAAACCGTAGCTGTGCGTGTTTGTCGCTTTTTTCATGTTTTCGCTTTATTTTCACATTGTTTTCGTATGTTTTTCGCATGTTTTCATCACTTTTTTCCTAGGAGCGTACAGCAAATATTGCTGACGGGTAAAAGTTCTCATAAGTGCAGAAGAGGTGCCAGGAAAAAAGCCCAAAAAAGGCAAAACACATGCAAACACAGTGGCTTTTGCGTTTTCTGCTGCTTTTTTTTTTCGCTGTTTTCTCCAAAAAGGCTTATGTTGATGGTTGGTCATGCATGGCTGCCATTGCCCAACATAACCGTAGGACCGTAGGATGGAGGTTTCCCCGAGTCAAATCAAAGCTAATCCCCTCAAGAAGCAAATCTGGGCTGAAGGGAGTTACTTTGACAAGCCACTTCTAATCCAAACTAATCCCCTCAAGAAGCAAATCTGGGCTGAACCCTCAGACGAGGGAGTTAGTTTGACATACTTTGACAATCCTTTTCAAGATCAGGGACTGCGTGGGATTGAGCTTTCCCCAATCCAATCCAAACTAATTCCCGGAGAAGGCAGATCTGGGCTGAACCCTCAGACGAGGGAGTTACTTTGATAATCCATTTCAAGATTAAGACTTGGTAGGATTGAGCTTTAGTCCAGTCCAAACTAATTCCCTCAGAAGGCAAATCTGGGTAGAACCCTCAGGCGAGGGAGTTATTTTCACAACCTTTTAGTTTCTTGTAGCGTGGGGCTGCCTCAAAGGACCAAGGTGGACAAGGGAGCCACTTTCACCGCACATACATGTCCCAAGAGTGATTTTGAATTGATGTTTTCCTGTGCTCTGGTTAAATACTATATCCGGTATATGAATATGTCCTCCATATGAATACTCTCCGAATCTCTTTCACATACTCCATGAATATTATAACTTCTCAGGTTTCCTTATATACATATTATAAGGCCCCCCTCCTTGAGATTTTCGAGAAGAATTTCTTTTTCACACCAGTGTCGGGAGTCAGTCTGGTGTTACATCGAGAACCATTTGACTAAAGGCGCATGTAAGAGTAAAGTGCCGAGGGGGATGGCCAAGGGTCAGTTTGAAACAGCATCCTTCTTTCACAGCCAAGCCAGCCAAGCCAAGCTTGTTCGAACGGATTAGCGCCGCACAGCAGGCGATGAGCTCCGCAGCCGCCAGAGCAGCGGCAAACCACATCGCCGCGCGCCGCGCGAGGCCGTGGGGGGTGGCTAACCACCCTATAAGGATGACGGATTATAGCCGGGATTGCGGATTAAAACGGATTGCGCGCGATACGTGGTTTACACGGATTACGGATTGTTTTTAGGCCCGTCGGGCTTGCGAACAGCTCAGATAATATACTATTATATATATATATATATATATGTATTTTACTCGACTGCCTTGGAACCATTCTGGCCTTGGAACCATTGGAATGTTCTGGCCTTGGAACCAGTGAAATTTGTTGTAATGTCAATCCGCGTTGCATTTTTGCTCAGCACTTGCCTGCGAGAAATCAACCTACGCCTGTATCAAATTGGATCAAAATTATGTTCAACCTGCGCCTGTATCAAAGTAGGTCAAAATTATGTTTACCCTTGTGTGTTCAGTTGTCCTTGTTTTTGTTCCATTGTGTTTATTTCTCCTTGCGCGTTCTATTCCTGAGCGCATGTCAACCATCAATCCAACTGGTTTTCGGTTTGCATATTTGCCATGCTTCCGCTGGAGCCTTTCGAGTGTCGGACAGCTTTGGATATACAGCGGGCTCTTACGGGGGCCGCTTCAGAGGCAAGGGAGGCAATTCCTGAACTAACAACAGTATGTAGGTGGCAGATGATGGTACAGTAGATAGTTTTTGGATGTTTTCGGGATGATTGGTTTCCTGTGTACCTTGCCATGCGTTCTTGCGTAGCGCGATGTCAGCTTGAGTCGCAATGTCGGTCTGCAAGGAAGTGGTGCTTTCAGAGGTGGATGACTTGGACCTTTGCATGAAGGAACTGCTTTCCAACGCTGATGCTATGACCATGATCACATCACTCAAGCTTGTCTCCTTGTCCTTGGGCGCTCATCATTTGGAGCTGCTTGGTGAAGTACTGGGCGGCTCAAGTGATTGGAGACCAGCGCCCGTGGATGAAGGCGAAGAGACCGAAGAAGTGCAAATGGATCTTTTTGATGATGTCCAGGATGCCGTGCAGGCAGCTAGCCCTTGCCAAGAGAAATCTTTAGAAGAAGATGTCGAGGTCAAAGGCCAGCAGCTCAAGTCGCTGCAAATCTTGAGATGCCCTGGGCCATCCAGTGATGCATGGTCACCTTTGTGGCAAAGCTTGCCCACGAGCCTGACAGAATTAGACATCTCTGAGAATAGCCTCAGTGACCATGCAGTTGCCGCCCTTTGCGGAGCTTTGCGTCAACGCAGCATGCGCTTGACCTACTTGACCTTGCAAGGAAACCGATGCAAAGACGTGCAACGCCTTGCAGACTTGATTTCCCGTGGAGGTGTGGAGATCCTTGACCTTGCGGAAAATCTCCTGAACGAAGCCCAACGGCAGATGTACATAGGTTTTTATCAGTTGAGTTGCTCTGTAAATAGGCAGACTGGCAATGTCCACACATATAAACGGTTCCAGTTGGATGATTTTGTTGCCTTCCCATACAATCATGACAAGAAGTGCAAGTCCGTGAGGACAAGAGCATCCAGCAGCTGTGTGAAGCTTTGCCGTCGCCCAGCTGCAGACTTGTTAGCTTGCGTCTCGATGACAATCGGCGCATCACTTCCTCTGGGTTATCCGGGCTTTTCGACTTACTTCCCAGGAGAGGCAGACATGGGCACAGCATGACACGGCTCGCTTTGAAGTGGGTGACGCTGGCCATGGGCCAGCACCCGAAAGTTTGTCGAACTTAACTTAATGGTGTTTGCTTTGGTTTAGCCGTCTAACCTGTTTGCAGTGGAAGAGTTTAGCCGGCTTTGAAGAAAAGCCTCTCTTGATGGGCCTGGTGGTGTCATCAACATGTGCTGTTGGGAAACAACATGCGGAATTGCTCGGTACATCTCAAATCGCCATGGTAGAGTTGACTAGGTGAGAATCAACTGCTTGTGCCTCGAATCACCCTTGTTGTCTCCAGTCTCTGAATTTTGCACATGAACATGCTCTGTTGAAGACCTTGCCTGTAGCAGCATTCCATTATGAGTCATGAGGTTAGAAGGAAAGGGTTGGACACAAGATGAGCAGTCTTTTGCAATGAGCCCAGAAACCAAACTAGGCTGTTGCACAGCTCAAATTGAAGGCCTGCACTGGAACCCCTGAAAGAGAAAGGGGTTATTGTTCTTCGACACGCAGGACTGGGATCCGCTCCCTAGCATTGCGTCGCACTTCTATGTGCGACAAAGGTGCAGCTTTGCTGAACTGCTTTTGAGTCGTGCCAGGTTTCCAATCATAGGGAGCAGATTCGACGAATGATGATCTTCCAGTTCTTGGACATCATCAAATATAAAGCTAGCTAGCAGTTGTAACACCTAGGCAGCCGCCCTGGCGACCAGCTTGGGAAAGTGCAAGCTAAGCTATTTGGACATTGCCGGCCATCACTTCTCGCTGCCGCTAGTGCAGGTGGCATGTCGCGAGACCCAGTGTTTATATATCATGTGTGCCATGGAAGTAGTTCCCGTGAATGTGTTTTGTTTGACACTTGGGGGTGTTTGCCACTAGCTTGGCCAGCCAGAAGTTGGGAAGGTGTAGTGTAGAGAGCAGGGAGCATGGCTAAGGCAGTCAACTACGCTCAATTCTGGAGTTGTTCTAGTCCTGTAGTTCTGAGCCTTGTAGAGACGGGGATTGCTTGTGATGCTGCACAAATGTAGCTGAGCTCCAATCCGGCCGGGGATTATCAATGTTCAATGATCCTGAAGTGCAACAGTAAGTAGGACGAACATGGACAAATACATTTATATATATATATGTATATTTATATATACTCTGGTCCTGCCGGGTCCTGCCTGTAACTCCTAGTATAGCGGATGTAGTGATCATTGCATGTGATCCACAGGAGCTGATAGCCGCCGTCGAAGAAGCATCAGGAGTTTCCAGCGGCTTGGCGGCTAGTGCAAAAAAGTGGAGCGGCTTTTAGGTCCGGTGGGCTTCCAATGTCTGGTGCGCGGCATTTAGTTTCTTTCAATCCAAGATGGGTGCTTATTTCCATGGTGACAGAGAATATTGATCAATTAGTTGGCAGCTTTTGCGTGGGTCAAGAGATTGTCTCTAGTAACTAGTGACCCAAAATACTGACCAGTGACAGGGAGCTCAGGCTGGGTTCTTCTCATAAGGATAAGGGCAGCAGCGTGCCAAGGTCTTGTTCTTGATGACGCTTATCAGCAAGTTCATTGGAAGCGATGTCAGCAGCTCTCAGATATCCTGAGTGGAGGGATGAATGCCCCGGATGAAGCCGGCAAAGCGAGATGGCAACAAAAATAGTTAAAGCCCAAATGAGTGCTCAATTCCGAAGTGGGACGGCTAAAACGCGAAAGGGTCTCTCACTGAGTCACTGAGGCTTGATATTTACTTTCTGATCAGTGGCCTCATTAATTGCTTGGCTGCTAGGTCCTTTGTTCTTTTTTCCAGGTTGGAGAGCAAGTGCCATAATGAGACCAGCCCGCACAGCCTGTGCACCCATGCACCTCTTTGGCGCGTTTGGCTTCAGCTGGGATGGGGTGTGAAGGCCGCTGGGCCTTGCCTTCTCGCTCTCGAAATGCCCGACAAGCGAGAGGCCAAACGTCCCAATGCACGTGGTTTGAGTTTGGAGCGTTCTTTGCGTTTGGATGTGTAGTTGAAGGTAGTTGAAGGAGACATGCAAACCCACAGCGGAAACGTTAGCGCTTTCTTTCCGCCTTTGGTGAACAGCAGCATTCTGTGATTTCTATTCTTTTTGGTGGATTTCACTCATCAAGCCCATCACAATACACTTATACTCAGTGCTTTTAACATGCACATATGCTCCACAGAAAGCTGAACACCCTTTGGCAGGCTGCGCTGAAACTGACAGCTGCTGAGAAAAGCCTGAAGGTGGCAACTGCCGACATTTCGTGCACCCATTTGCGCATGAAAACGCATAGCATGGCCGCAGTTTCAAAACGCATGGCGCAAACGCTCCGTCAGGTCGGCAAGGCACAAGAAAGCCTCAAGGCAGGGCCGGTCTGTGGGCTTTGGCATCCGAACACGTTTGGCCGCCTTTTTTCGGCCGCCGAAGCGTCTGGTCAACCTCAGGACTCCGAAGCTGCTTCGCACTGAGAATGGAAATCGCCAAGCTGCTGCGTTTTTGATTCCCTTGAATCCATTTTTGATCCGAACTTCATATTAGATCTAGATTCAGATGTTGGTTGCCTCACGTAATAGGGCCATAGGCCATCGCCACCATCCGACACTGAAGCTGCATGTCGAGGCCTTGGAGATCTTCCGAAGCCTCGGAGCAGACGGGGAGTTTTTGCCTCAGGTTTTCCAACTCAGGTTTTCTGGAGGAATGCCTTCAGGATGTTTCAAGGAACTATTCTTTGATGCATCATGACAAATCCCTCATTGGCGCTTTCTTTTTTACCCGGATGCTTCTTTCATGCGGCTTGGTTACCAGGGGCCCGCTCCCAGATGTGCTTCGCCTGGTCATTGATGGGAAGCGCATGCTCGCAGTGCAGCTTCAACAGGTCAGCACCGACAGGACATGGAAGGAAACGCCGCGCAACCCGGCAGAGGAGCTAACAGAAGTACAGCAATTCGCAGAGGCCGAGAAGAACAACTTTGCTCAGGCCTGAAGTAGCGTCGGCTCCCATTCTCGATCCATTCTGATATGATATATCTATGTTTATGAGGCAAACAGCTATCAAAGGCCTTGCAGGACGAGAATGTATTTGGATGTATTTGGCCATGAATCGGACCCCCAAAAAGACACCCCTTGCGGCAGACCGGTCCGGTGGGAGATGACCCAAGTTGAGCTTTTGATATGAAAAGAGAACAAAGATTAAACCCCTTCAGCCACTCCTGTCTTTTTGTCCAGGCCGGCAACCGACGAGGAGAGGCAGCGATGCTGCTGGGGACCCAGTTACGACGCTGGTTGTTTCGTACGCTGTCTCGTTCTTTCATTTTTGTGATGCATATGATTTGAGCATCCGACAAAACTTCCGTACATGTACTTTAGTCAAGGGCCGCCTTAATTTAAGTCACCTGGGAGTAGAGAGTGGTTCTGACGACGCCTCGTTGGTCAGCAAGCTGGGGCCAACTATGGCCATTCAGCCGCGGTGCAAAGCGACGCCTCTCAGGATCTCTTTGGCTGAGATCGCCCTTAGCCAGTGCAGCAGGCGACATGAGACGTGAGACGTCGCTGTTCTAACCGACAGTTCTTTCCGTGTGCTTCCCTGAGCATGAGAATGATCGTGCATAATACTGCATGGCTGTATGACACCCAAACCTGCGCACAGATGCACAAGAAATGAGGATGCAGTGTGATGCAGTATTATGCAGTCAGGTTTTTGTGACTTTTACTATTTTGCACTGTTTCCATCTATTTCTACAATAACTGGTGGCCCATGTGGTTTGGACACCCACACTTGGTCGACTTCTCCAATCAGAATGTACAAGTGTGGCTGCTCCTTGATTGAGGGCTGGAGAATCCCATTCGGTTCCAGGCCTTATGCTAGTGGACCAGTTCCACCTGTGAAGCCTCTCGAGGAGGCAATTCGAATGATGCTTTGAGCTGATTGTTGGGACAAAGCCTTGAGGGCCGGGGACACTTGAAGTGGCAGGCTTGCGTAGTTGAACATGATGCATGAATGTAGTCAGAACCATATATATATATAGAAAGACAAGACAAACACACACACACACACACTTGTCACATCTATAACAAGTTGGTGTCGCGATGTGTTGAGCATGTGTGGGCTTTCGCATACCGTGGCAGTCTGCAGTCATGTTGGGGTGCAGTCCTTGGGCTTTTTGTCACTTTACGGCTCACAGTGACAGATAGATAGATGGCCTTTTGCACTGAGCAGGGGGCAAAGTTCAAGCACAGTGTTTAGGTTTTTGGACCATCCAAGGGCAGTCTGGGATGGATGAAGGGCCTGTCGGCTACAGTGTCTCCACTTCTGCAACTCCGCAGCCACCGGTGACACCATTGCCTGTGACCCCTCCTGAGAGATCTGAAGAGGAGGATGAACTGCAAGCCTTCCAACGGGATCAGATGATTGAAGCCTTCCAAGCAGAACTGCGTTTGCTTCGCAATCGCCTTGCCAAGAAAGACCAGGAGCTCAGTGACTGCCACGTGGAAGCTGTCCGGCACAAGAACATTAAGCGAGACAGCGCCAAGATAGCCAATGAGCTTCAGAAAAAGACCGTTTTGCTTCAGGAAGAGCAGGACCATTCGAAGGAAGTTAAGGCACAAATGGAGCAGTACAGGGCCCAATGGGCGGAGTACAAACAACAAGTTGAGCAGCTGAAAAGAGCTGCAGAGAGCGACGCCAAAGAACTCAGCAAAGCCTTGAAGGAGGCCAAGGAGGCTAAAGAGGCAAAGGCCCGAGAGTCTGAGGCAAAGGCCCTTCTGGAAGCTGAAGTGCAACAGAATCGGGCTACAATTGAGGATCTTCGCGCAAAGCTAGAGGCTCTCGGCGACGGTCAGGATCCGATCGAACCGGATGCCAAGGAAACTAAAGAAACAAAGACCCTGAGTTCCCCGAAGAGCAAGACTGCCGTCCCACCCGCACGGCCTGCGAAGAATCTACGGATGGCTCTCAGCAGTGGAAACATCGACTTGGATCCAGAGAATGTGGCACGCTTCACGGAAGCTCCCAGCTCTGAGAGCCCAGGCCCACAAGCTGCGAAATCACGCGAGGAGGAAATGCCCCAAATTGCGCATGATCAGGACATTTTTTCCACGCATCTAACAAACAGCTCGCAGGGAAGAGTTGATCAGGCCAGCACGTCCAAAATGTGTTAAACCAGTAATTATCACGGCTTTTGCTTGGTGTACCCTTTGCCCAGAATGTTTATAGACACACACATATATGACTGTCTTAGGTCTGGCAGGCTTGGGTGGACAGTAGTCATTCCCTAGAGAGTTCAGAGCCTGACACCATTTTGGTTCAAGTCTGATCCAAACTGGCAGGTTCTGTGTTTTCTTGTTCAGGAGTGACCTGACGGAAGACTTCATGCCAGCGAGGGTCAGGGAGGGTATCGATGTTGCCCGTTTCACGGACTTGCAGGTACTTACCCCGGCGGCATGGTTGGACTTCACCGCGCACATCGAGTCCTTGCTGGCCGTTGGGAGGCGGGACGCCGCTCTGGTGCTCTGGGAGTCCGTGGTTGAGATCTTTCACGTGGGGTCGCCACCTGGAGAGGTACTCCAATCCCCCACGATGCCTCCCATCAGACGCATCCCATGCACTGAGGTCCCCTGTTCCCGGTGCGAGCGACGCGTGGGGGGGCTTCGGTTTCCGTGGGTTGGCACCTGGACGCGCCGCGCCGTTGTGGTCCAAACCGGGCCTTAATCCTCAGGGTGCATGGGATGCCTACCATGCCAACTCGGCGACTTTCGACCTTTTGGGGTGGAGATGGTTCGGAGCCCGCTGGACCGAGAAGCGATCTCGCCAGCTCACGTGCAGAGGCTCTTCAACCAGTTGGCCTATAACCAGGATGGGATTTCCTGGAGCCATCTGGTGGCCATCTTTCGGATCTGGCAGGCCTGGCGGGAGCCGACCCGCGTTGGATGTCCGCAGGCTGGGCAAGCCGAGCTCATCCAAGCCGGAGCGCTTATTCGGCACCTTCTCAGAGCGACCGAGATTGAGGTGCCCTTCATCCCTCCCTACTGCCTCATGTGTTGTTGTCCCACCTGGTCTGTGTGTTCGTCCTGTGATCGATCGGTGTGTGACGACTGCCGAGTCTGGACATTCCAATGCCCGCTATGCCTGGACAGCTCTAGCTGCCATGGCGTTCGATGGGCGCTACGTGGCGGAGGCAGCTGGGGCCATGCCGGGGTGGGACCCCGAGCGGGCCAATGCGCGAGTGGAAGAGCAGCGCGCAAGGCAGCTGCGCGACCACTTCGGGCTTCAGCGGGACGATGATCTGGCCTACGCGTTCGAGTCCTTCGAGGACGCCGTGCGTGCTGGTGGCCAGGCACTTGCAGTACAATGGCTCGAGGCCCGAGCATCCGCCGAGCAATCTCTCTTGCGCGACGCAGCGAATACTGTGGAGGCTGGACAAGGCTCATCCTCGGATCGTCGCCCTCCATTGAGTCGCCAACCTGCTTTGCACCGCGCCAAGGGAGTGACCCTGACGGGCGGGGCCTTTGAGCCGGGCAACGTGGTCCGCCGTGCTGAGGCCCTCAAGGACACCTTCATGGAGATGGGGGTGATGCGGCCTCACACGGTAAGCTTCGGCCACCTGCACGGAGGACCATGTCCCAGGGCCGTCTGAGTCTCCTTTGATGGTGGACCTCATGGCCGGGCCCAACGCCCCGCTGACCAAAGCCTTCATCTTTTGTGGATGGCGCACTATTACTGTTGATTGGCTCATCGATGCATCACATGACTTGTCGCACCCACTTCGACAGGCCTCCCTCCATGAGCAGCTGCAACCTTCCTCTTCGCAGCCCTGGATTGCAGCACCAAGTCATGGGCCCGTGAGATTCCAGTCACCTTTTCCGATGGCAGGCCGGGCCCTCCACCACTCCGTTCCAAGCAACACCCGGAAGGCCTCCCGAACCTATCCGAGCGGAATCAGGAGCGAGTTGAACAACAAAGCCTGCCACTGAGATCCAGGCCTTGGCCCAGCGCGGGGGCGGCTCCATTCGTGAGAATCCGGGCAATTTCGCTCCATTGGGAGTTACCTAAAGAGCGTGAGATGATGAAGACCGGGATGTGGCAGGATACTACCTATGCAGCGTGTTGCTTTGCAGGGGCTAGAGCCAAGTACCACAACCTCCGCCGCAACATTGAGGAGATCAGTCGCTGGCCCCCACTACGGTGCAACCATGTCCATTCACTGGGTTCCATTCGAGGTTGACGGTGCCAAGGTGTTCCCAAGCAAAGAGGAGGCTGAGTACACCGCCCCGCTGGCCTTTTCGATTGCAGTCTCCGTTTCCTATTGGGCCGTTCGAACTGGCCATGCCAAGCTGAAGTTGGGGCGCCTCCCGCCAGTTGAGACAACAGGCCATCGCCCCCACTGGCTCTATCTTGACCATCGGTCGCTTCGTGAATGGGCGATGACGCCAATGGCCATCAGCCTTGGCCTTTTGCCTCCGGACGCCCAAGAACGGTCTCGCGTATGTCCAGTAGCTGCAGTTGATGACGTGCTCCAGGACGGGGTCCTGCCAGCCAACCACATCTACGTCGACCAGGGTCACCATCGACATCGGCTGCCTACCACCAAGTGGGCACCCCCGTTTCCCACATCCGCGGCACCCTCTGGGACAGTTTGGCCGAGCTTCAAGGCCAGGTGCTGGTGAGTGACACCGGCGGTGGGCCGTTATGCCCTGCGACTGCGTTGGCCGGACTGGTCTTCGACTACCTGTCACCAGGAACACCCCCAAGCATCACTACAAAGCCGGCAGCCAAGCCAAGCCCGCTCGCGGTCACTCTTCGAGGGTGATGAGGGTGATTTCTCTGTCGGGCGTGAATGCGATGGCCCCTACGCAGCTGTTCCCGCAGGAGAGCGTAATTTTGGCCTTCAAGCAGGCGTCTCTTCCCCTACGAATGGTTCGCAGGTTTTCGTTTCCCCTTGGTCGAGGACCTGGTCAATGTTCACGAGCTATACCACCATTCGAGACTCTTGCAACGGCATGCGGAAGGCCAACAAGCGGGTGCCATGAGTCACAAGGCAGCCCTCCCGCCTCTGCTGAGTTTCGGCCTTTCCATCGACGAACACTTTCAACAGTCGCTGACACTGGGGCACCAGCCCTTGCCGACCGAGAGGCCCCCCCTGTTGGATGATGACCTTTGGTTCTGCGCCGAACAGCACTGGCGGCCGCCCACCGAGCTCTACGCGTTGCGCAAGCGAGCCATTGGGGCCATCAAAGAGCTCGAGCAACGATGGGGCCCGGTGACAGCCCAATTGCGACGCTTGCAAACTCCAGCGATTCGCCGAGTGACGGCGACCAGGGATTTGGGGCTGACAGCATTGTTGATTATGTTGTTGTCATGGGCAGGCAGATACGACCTACCCATATGGTTTGATTCGGGGTATGCCAGTAGTGGGGACGGCGTTTTCCCTGTCCAGCAAGGTCGCGAGATCACCATGGCCGAAGTCTTGGACGGCTGGCAGGACCACAACTACCATATCATCAAGCAGTTGAAACCAGGGCCGCACGACAGCGATGCTTCTCAGGGATTTTGTACCAAGCCGTTGACGCATGCTCAGCTACATCCAGGGTGCCCCTCATCGCTTGATGCGTCATCGTTCAGTCCAGTGGCAAGAAGCGGATCATCGACAATGGGGATACAGGTGGGCAATCCGAGCGGTCATCCGATTGCAACAAGTTGACACTCTGCTCTCCATTCCGGCCAGCTCAACACATCGCGGCCATCGCCGCGTGCGCTTCTCTCGACCAGTGGCGCGCCCGATTGGAGTGGGACTCCTTCGAGAGCGGCGGCGAGGCCGAACGCCTATCTATCGGGGAACTCCGATTTCCTAATTATGAGGAGTCGCTAGGCTGTGCGCAGGCCTTTTGGCACGAGCAATGGCAGAAGCCAGCCTTTCAGATTTACCATTCTCTTTTGTTTGGTTTGCCCCTTGCGGTGACCAGTTTCAATCGCTACAGTCGCTTGGCAGAGGCTTTAGGACGCAGATTGTGACGTCCCTGTACTTCGACGATGCAAACATCATCGACTGGAAGTCCTCAAAAGGCTCAGGCCAGGCAGCGTTCAACCAACTGAACACACTCATCGGCACTCCATTCGCAGAAGAGAAACGACAGGCCATGACAGACAGTGGCCTTTTCCTTGGATTACAGCACGATTTACGTGAAGTCAGTGCTGGTATTGTTCGCTTTTGGCCAAGGGAACGTTTGATCGCCAAAATGGAAGCATTTCTGCAAGATGCGCTCAGCAGCGCAACGCTGAGTTCAGGCACGGCGAGTAAAATTTACGGCGTAATGGCCTTTTTGGAACAGGGCATCTACGGTCGTGTGGGGTGTAGCGGCCTACAAGCCATCAAGGCGAGGCAGCATGAAACCGACCGCCACCTTTCCCCAGCACTGAAGGACAGCTTGTACCTGATCCGAGCCGTGCTCGAGCTTCGGCCCGCCAGGGTGATGGAAGTGATCCATCCCTCTGTGCCTGCAAGGTTTGTGGTGGCCTCAGATGCAGCCCTTGAAACCCCCTTCGAAGGAACTGGTGGCTTCCTTATCGTGTGGTTCAATGGTGTTGAAGAGTGTCGAGAAGCTTTCGTCTCCCACATGCCCCGGTCGTTGTACTGTTTGTTTACTCCAGGTGAACGAAAGATTGCGCAACTTGAACTGATTCAGCTCATTTTTGCACTGACCACCAGGCCAGACCGGTTCAGGGGCCGGCGAGGCGTCTGGTTCCTGGACAACAGTGCGGCGCTAATGGCACCGATCCGAGGCAGATCGGACGCCGAGGACCTCGAGCGCATGTCACAGATTGTGCATGTGCTGCTCTTTGGTCTCCAGTGCTGGATGTTTTTCGAATGGATCCCTTCAAAAAGTAATTGGGCTGACGCCATCAGCCGTTTGGGATTCCAAGACCCCTGGCACGTGAAGCACGGGTTTACCCAATCCGAGGCATTTTTCCAGTTCATCCTTTGGCAACTGCCCGTTGCCGGCCTCGTTCGCGTTGCCGAATACTTGTAAGTGCGTTGGGGATTTTAAAGTGCTTTGGGTGATATCTGGGGTGACCCAGCCAGGTGTGACCTGACAAGGAGCCAACCGGTAAGGAAGCGATCCTTACCTACCCAAAGCAAACAGCCTGTACGACATACAAGCTTCGGACAGGTCTGACGAAAAAGTGCGGAGCGTACTTCACAGGATAGGATCCTAACACTCTAGGAATGTATGACTGTCTTAGGTCTGGCAGGCTTGGGTGGACAGTAGTCATTCCTTAGAAAGTTCAGAACCTGACACCATTTTGGCTCAAGTCTGATCCAAACTGGCAGGTTCTGTGTTTTCTCCCTCCCTCAAATTTTTCAAAGTTTGACCCACCCTGATTAGAGACCCTCGGTGAGGTGTTCCCTAATCTTGAAGGATGCTTCGTCATCCGGGGTCCGCGTGTAGTAGTGCACGCGGTTGACTCCTACCCGGCGTTCTGGGCATTGCCCCCTCCTGAGTTAGGAGTGGGGCGGGTGATATCTGGGGTGACCAGATGAAGCCCAGCCAGGTGTGACCTGACAAGGAGCCAACCGGTGAGGAAGCGATCCTACCTACCCAACGCAAATAGCCTGTACGACATACAAGCTTCGGACCCGACTAGGTCTGACGAAAAAGTGCGGAGCGTACTTCACAGGATAGGATCCTAACACTCTAGGAATTTATATATATATATATATACATACATGCGTAACTTTTTAGCATCTTCTCACCAACATTGCTGGTCATTCTTTTTGTTGCCACTCTCAAGTCTCCAAACCCACACAGACGTGGCCTGTTCCATTCCACCATATTCCACCCTTTCAAGGTGCACCTTTCAGGCATTGGAACGGCCGACTCAGCGAGCACTTTGGCCAAAGTCTTGTTGTCGAGACTCAATTTATCAGTCTATTATGGTCCGGAGCAGCAGCGACGGGCGCAGCACGTGCAGTACATGTACACACAGCAGATGCAGCTCTTTGCACAGAACGGCGTGCAGGTGCAGACAAACCATGCGCCTGTGCAATCGGTTGGATTGCCTACCGGACAAATGCAAATGCATGGAATAAGCATGCCGACTCAGGGTTAAACTCGACCACAAGAGTCGGAATTAGGGTCAGAGTTTGCAATGACAATGCGCCATAGATGCAAAACGTGATTCTGTTTGCCATTTGGGTCCGCTTGATGGACATATATACATGGCTGGCCACCGAGAATCAATGTCCGACTCTCCTGCCATATCAGATTTTTTCTTCACACCAACATGTCCCTTTCCACACATTTGAACATTTTGCCAGGCCCTCCACATGCTGCGTGATGCTAGTCCTGGTGATAAGAAGTTTGGAGACCTCAGCGGTGTCTTCCAAAGCCTCCGAAGAAGGATTCAATCAACCATTAGAAGAAGATACTACATATTTCAAACCACTCACCGAAGCCTTGAATATATAATTACATATATAATGAATATACAATTCCATATATAGTGATGTATTTCCTCATCATATGTAGTGTCTTCCAAAGTCTCAGCAAGAAGTCGCAGAGCGCCGAGGCTGGAGGGTCTAGCCCTCCTGGCGATGAGCGAGACGTACATGATGCAACACCGCTCAGATCAGTGATGTAACCAACCTGATTGCCCAGATGGGCTATCATATTAACATGCTTCCTTTGGCAACCCATGGTTAAGATCTCAGTCAAAAAAGCACACTTGGAGAACTGAATGCCCACACCGCCCAGGAAGCCGGCCCTTGTCGAGGCGAAGTCGGCCGCGGACGCTGCTCTGAAGGTCTTTGAGGCCAGATTTAGCTGCCTTCCTGCAGGGAGCTTTCTTGATTGGTGTTTGTTTGGCAGTGTTTGTCTCAATTCTTTTTGCAGCTAGACCGTTGTATTATATCGTGGACTTCCTGTGGCTCATCTTCCAGCAGGCAGACACTGAAAGAAGCAAACTAGGCAAAGTCTAACCTTGTTGGTGTGTTCAGAGCAGACCCTCAGCATGTTTGATTTTTAATGTGTTTCAGTCAACGATCCCATTCGTAGCTTTGCTGCGGTCCCATCAATCAAACAGGTATTGTATATATTATTATATGTTATTTGATGCTATTCGGTTCTGGTGCAATCAGATGTTGCCGCACGCACGATAAAAATACATGGTTGGACTTGGACATTCTCTTCAAAGGTGTGGAGGCCACACACACACATGCATCGTTGCTTGCATAGGGACATGCGTTCGTCTGGGAGTCATGGCTCCATGGGTGGTGGCGATTCCTTCGTTTGACCGGCTGAAAGCAATTCAAAACCAGACTTTGCGTTTGCTATTGACTTCAGGCATATCACCCGCGCGCATCTATGTTTTTGCTGACCCTGGTCAGTACGAGCAGTACAAAGAAGGGCTAAAGAGCCTGGGTATCAATGTGGTGAAAGGCCGGCGGGGAATTTGCAACCAAAGGAATGCAATCATGCAACATTTTAAGCCCGGCGACCGGATTGTAGAGATGGATGACGACATCAAAGCTCTTGTGACATCTACTGGATCTGTCAGAAGTGACACAGATGCCACGGTGGTTGACGTGCCGCACAAAAATCTTGAGGGGATAGTCGACCACATTTGGGAAGTCGCAGACAGGGAAAATTGCAAGCTGTGGGGCGTGTACCCATTGCCAAACACGTATTTTTTGTCCAGAACCTATACCGTGGGACTTGCAAAAAGCACTGGACAGATGCAGGGCTATTACAATCCTGGTGACCTTTTGTTGACGTTGCCAGTGATGGAGGACTATGAGAGGGTCTTGCACTTCTACAGCCGGGGGATGCATTGTTTGAGGTGTGACTACCTGAGTGTCAAGTCTGAAAACAAGGCTCGGGGCGGTTGTGACTCCGCTTTCACGGACTACATCCTCGAAGAAACTGCGAAAGGGAAGGCCAGCGTTGGGCGACACAAATGTTCTAGGAGCCCCTAGCAGCTTCTTGTTCCAGGTAGTAAGGCCAGGAGCCCCTAGTAGCGTCCTTGCTCCTATGATTCTTTTAATCTTTCAAGGCTGACAGGTCTTGTCCCCCATCACGTCACCCACGCCCCATAAGCATCCATAAGTCCAGACAAATCCCCATAGCATTTCCTGCTCGGGCTTGAATGACTGGCCCTCGGAGGTGTTTCGGCACCCACGGGAAGCTGCAGAGTCGGCAGCTGTGAAGAACTTGCAAGCTCGTTTTCCATCACTGGTGGTGAAGAATCTTTCGGGTCCCAAGCCAGTGGAGAAAAAGGTGCCAGTTCATGGCCAGGTTCAATACTATCCTCCAGGCTGGCGCATCCAGTTGAGAAAACAAGGTGGAACATCTTACATTTCTGCAATGGATGTCTCCAGCACCTTCGCTGCACAATTGGGTTTGGGAAGCAACGTGAAGCCAATGGAGACAGTTGTCAACGGCAACATCATAGATCTCAAAAGAGACCCACGCCCAGAAGTGGAGGGTGGAGAGGACACTGAGAAAGAGGCGACTGACAGTGAGAGCACGGACCGTGCGATCGACCTGTGGATTTTGAAACAACTGGAGGTTCAGGAACTGCGTGATTTGTGCCAAGAAGCCGGTCTCAAGGATGGCGGCACACGAAAACAACTCATCAAGCGCTTGGTGAATCCCGAGGACACGCAGAAGCCACGTGCGAAGCGGCGCAGAGCGTCCCAATCTCCGAAAGGCGAAGTCGGGAACGAGGCGACGTCACGGAGGGATTTGGAGAGTTTCAACGACCAGGAGGAATTAGACAGATTGGAGGCATTCTTGGCAGCACGTGAAGCTACAGAAGCACAGGAAGCCAATGAAAGAGCTGAAAGAGAGCGGGCTGAAAGGCAGCGGGCTGAAAGCGAGCGGGCTGAAAGCGAGCGGGCTGAAAGAGAGCGGGCTGAAGAGGAAGCCAGGAACAAAGATCCTTGGGCGGCGGTTCATCCATGACCATGTGAAACCTTAGAATCGCCACAAACGACTACGGTGTTTTAAGGCGTGCGGCAAACTTCTGCTTAGCGCAAAAGATGTGGGGCTATATAGGATTGTCGCCAACCATGTGGTCTTCTACAGGTCGGAGGTGGCCAGCAAGGCAGCAAAGCAAAACACAATGACAAAGAATGTGCATACAAGGAATGGTCGCGCGGCCCCTTTTAACATTATTATGTCATTCATGATTTGTTGCCGTACTGTTTCCTTTGCTCACTTCACGGCAGAATCAGTTGACACAGTTGACACATTGTCATCCCAGCGGAGGTGTTCAAAAATGTGCGAACCATATTTACACATGCAGCAACATGTCGGACATTGGTGGTGTCCGGGAAATCAGTTTGTAGTCCGTCCATGTTCTTATTTAAACTATAAACTCTGCCGGCATGAAATGCACGTCTGCAAGGTGTGCAAAAGACTTGATGGAATAAAGACTTGATGGAATAAAGACTTGATGGAATGCGAACGGACCCCAAACGTTTACCGTACAGTATCGGTCGTCGTTGTCGCTGCCCTCATCGTCGTTTGAGCACAAAAATGCAACAAGAAGGACTGTAGGTGTGAGAATGCAGGCAGATCATGTTGGATCTAAAATCTTAGGGGTTTTAAGGTATAGGGTGGTGTAGTTTATTCTTCATCCCAGCACGCAAAAGGCAGGGGAGTTCAATATCACTGCGACGTTGTTTGCCTTGGTTTTTCACGGTGCTCAGGAGCGTGAAGTGGCGCAGAGACTTCAAGCAAGCCACGCCATGCAAGCCTTGCTACAAGTGGAGGCAGCGAGAGAAACCCAGCGCATTCTGGACCGCCAGGCGGAAAGGACAGAAGAAAACCTGAAGGGAACGGGAATCGCTTCATTGTTTGTCGGATCTCATCTGAGATCACCTCATTTTGCCTTACCTACTTTTGCAGTAATTCTACTGTATTAAGCTATCCCCAACTGTCGTCTCTGAGCTTATCTCACACGCATTTTTCTTTGGCAATTCCAACTAAGCCCGCTCGATGAAAGCCTGGACTCCGGTTGCACGTTCTTTGACCGAATTGTGGATTGCAGTTTTGCACTTCCCTTGGCTGCTGTTCATTTCGGCAAATTTGGAATTGTTTTTGGTTTCCTGCCTGCAACAGTATCAGCTTTTGCCACTGCCACATTCATAAACATGTTCCTCCAAGACTTCAATTCTACGTGGAGGGGCGTTTTATTCAGTTTTTTTCGTTTTTATTTGGGATGTTTATGTGTGTGTGTTTTTTTCCGGATTCTGCTTTTGCTGCTTTTCTGCTTTTGTTGCTTTTCTGCTTCTGCTGCTTTTGTGCTTTTGTTGCTTTTCTGCTTTTGCTGCTTTTCTGCTTATGCTGCTTTTTTTGCTTTTCTGCTTTGGCAGCTGTTCTCCTTTCTCTTTTTGTTTTTGCTTTTCCATTTGTTTGCTTTCTAACCTTTGGATCTGGTGTGCTGCTGGGGGAGGGCGCTGCGCCCCCCCCAAACCACTTCATCCGACACCCGCGCCTGCCACGAAATCACTATTTTAAGGTAAACTCCCCGGGGCAAAAATTCTACCCAACCATATATGCCTCCTGTGTTAGTTATCTTTCTCTTTACTGTGTCTCTGCCAACTGCACCAAAATGTTGTGATAGGTATTGATAGGTAGGATTTTCTCTGACACCTACACTATTCCAATGTATTTTGCTAGCTACGACAGCTCCCAAGTTAGTCTTAATCAGCTAGCAATTAATATGAAACCTGCACTATTCCAAGGTATTTGGCCAGCTACGACACCTTTGTCTCTGCTAAGGACACGAAATTGCTGTAATTAGCTGGGTGCTAATAAGAAACCTGCTCTATTCCAATGTTTTTGAACAAATCCAAAAAATGAAAAAATACACAATTAAAAGTGCACCCATTCTATGTTGCTCACGGCTGTCCTTGTTTTCTCCGTGACTTGTGCAGGCGGAGCAAATCGTGGAAGCCGGCCGCGCTGCTATGACTGGCAGACCTGATCCAACGTCTCCGGCCGCTCGAATTTGGCAGCCGCCACCCTCCTTCCGTCAGCTTCGGCATTTGATGCCCCGCTTCCACCCTCCTTCCAGCCACGAGCCGAGGCGGGCGCCACGCGTGTGAGCATATTCAATGCCACGTACATGTAAGCCGCTGGTGCATGTAGCCCCAAAAAGCACACAGCCTTAAAAATGTGATGAACAAAGCATAGGCAAAACCCAAAGTAAGGGCATTGTGCGATAGTGCGGCCACTGAAAGAATAGCCGGTGGTGTAGGTGGTCCGGAACACTTGACTGCTGTGTCACCATTCAATCCTTGGATTCAACCAAGATTGAGGCGCTTGCACCCCTGGATTGGGAAGCTCTCAGACGAAGCTCCTTAAGCTGCTGAGAAACAGAAGGAGACCGTCATCCTGCAGTTGTGAAAGAGCAATGCTGATTTGACAAGTAGATTTTTTCTTGTCCTTGCACTCTGGAGAGCCCGGCATGGTCTATGGAGATCTTGGATGCGGGCCTGAATTGTGTGGAGTGGAGTGGAGGTCCGTGTTTGAAGGACTCACTGATCACGATTGCATCATGCGCCTCACTATTTATTGCGGCATCCAGGCTGATGTAGGATGCACACATTTGCACACTATCAAAACATTGATTTATCCAAAGAGATCAAAGAGCTTCAATGCCAACTGCGACTGCGACTTTGCTTTGTGTACTGAGGATGTAGCCCTGGCCCTAGTCCATCAATTTCTGCAGATAACTTGATCATGAGAGAAAAGAGGTGTGCCCCACTGAGAGTTTTTGAATGAAAGCCATAATGTCGCATGCACTACATGACATCCTGACCCGGCACATTGAAAGCAAAAGGCATTTACAGGGCTGAGATGTTGAGTTGCCTTGTGCACCACACGAGGAATTGGGGGACAGCCTAAACAAGGCCAAAGCACTTCGAGATGGAGGACGCTGTTCCCTGGTGCCACGCCTAGGTCTATGTCAATGTTTGTTGCAGATTTGTTATGATTTGATATCATCATAAAGCAGCGCCTAGGGCGTAGGGCGTTGGGCCTTAGATGTGACTTCCCCGCGAAAGCTTCACCCCAAGGGTGTAATTTAGTCCAATGAATGCGCCACATGGATGTAGTATCTACGTGACTTCGTTGTCCTTTTTTTGGGCGAGGCTGGGGGCAAGGTGGCAGCTGGCGAGCAAGCGGTCCAGGCCAGGATGCCGCGTCGACTTTCCAGAAAAGCTCGTTTCGGCGGATGATTTGTTCAGTGTGCAGCCCTTGCTGGAGTGTTTAACTGCCATCAACTGCTCAGTCCTACTGTTGTTGCAACATCCTTTCCGCGGTACCAGGCTGCCATTGAGATTTTCCGCGAACAGGATGCTAGGAGGCCAGGCTGTTTTCGACGATGGCAAAGGCTGTTTTCGATGCGTTCCCATGCAGGCTGGAAGCAGATGAATTCATTGCCTTATCTGCAGCAGCCTTAATGATCAATTCCGCATGCCCCACTGCACTCAACAGCTGCCGCTTGGCCATGCTTGTAGCTCCAAACCGTGGCTGGGTGGCTTCAGTTATCTTCAGTTCGCTCAAGGAGCTCCTCCTGAATGTTGGCAGACACAAGGCCGTCGCGTCCTTTTTGAGCGACAGGAGAGCGTTTGGTTGCATGGTCGATGCAGTTTGACAAAGGTTTGAGCAGTTGAAGCTCTTCAAGGATCAGATTATAGGCCGCAGCCACTCTTCATAGTGTCGGGCTAGTGCACGCTAGTTACAACAATGTAGGCAACGTCGACATAAAACAAAAAGATTTTGTAGCTCTAATATATAAATAATCATAAACAATCGGAAGTTGAGGGCTGTTATTTGCGTAGATGAGACCTATGTCACGAGACTTATATAACTTCACGCGTACAACATGACGCGCATCCTGCCCACGCCATGACGAAGGAAACTTGGCAGAAAGATGTGCGCCATCCATGTTCGACAGTCAATGTTTTGTTTGTTTTGATTGATGCCTTACAATCCTTGTTTTGCCAGCGTTGTCTCAAGCGTTGCTGTCAAGCAATGTTTGCTCCCTTATGATACTGGTGACAGATGTGACCGTCTTTGTTGATGGCATTATTTGCCACAGTCTGCAGGAAGGCTCCCCTCACTGCCAAGCATTGCGTGAAGCGCAGCTGTTTAGGAGATTTGGATTTGTGTGTGTGTGTTCGAGTTGTCTTCATGGTCCCTCTCGCGAGGACTTGCTTGCACTTGCGTAGGCAGCAGCGAAACTTGGCAGTCGCTAAATCTTGAGCTTTTGCAGAAGTGTGCTTGCAGCTGCCGAAGACCGAAGCACATACTCATTTTTACTACAAGTCATGAACGATCATCAAGAGTTCCGTCCTTCCCTTGACTTAAGGACGTCAGCTACTGGCAGAGGCCTTGCAAACTGCCAATGCCAAAGACGCATCTGAGGCAGATCTGATATTTGCATCTTGCAACTGAAAACCAAAGGCTACAGAGTGCGGCAGAAATATGTGCATATATATTTATATATACACGGTAGGGGTACACACGCATTTACGGATGTATAACATTTCTAAACTGAAGGTGTGTAAACATATTCTATGTATACGGCAAACGTGTTAACGTGCATTTTGTCATTACTTTGGTTAGTTGCGTTTCTATTTTTAGATGGCAGGCAGATTTCAGAATTGTGTCATTGCCAGAGTGCAGATTTGAAAACAATACATTGCATCATATTGCATGCAAAAGATGTTCTGCTGTTCGTCACTGGTGATCCAAGGCATTAGACAGATCGGATTTCTACCTGCAGCAGCTGACACGACTGACGGCTTTGCCAGATGCGCCGCTTCGTTCAAGTTGGAACATGCGCCTCCGAAGTTCAGAGCGTCAAAACCATGTCGCGAGTATCGGGAGTCCAAAGCGTCCAAGCTGTCGAGGCCATTTGGTTGGGATGCAAGTGCCTGGACCGCCAAAGCAGGGCGCGCCCAACATTACTTGGTGGCAAGGCGTCGGCTCCGCCAGGCTGGCAAGTTCCAGTCACACGCACATGTACATGTTGGAGCCCATGCAGCATTCATCAGCATTCTGTATGCCAGATGGTTCTGTATGCAAGCCGGTATTCAGCGGTCTCGGTGCAATACTACGGAAAGCGTTGGATGCCTCACCTCAAGCGTTGAAAGCACACGATAACAACAATTTGTAGCGACCTGCAGGAGCTTGACGAGCAATGGTCTCAGGCGCAGCTGGATCCTCGCCTCAAGTAGTTTAACAGTTGAACGTACACTCGCGCATATGTACAGAGGCCATCAGATGCCTACTGGCGAGACCGCCAAGCCCAGAGAGATAGAGAGAGAGAGATGGAGTGGGGCCCACTACAAACTTAAATATAGCATTGATATGCATTGATTTATTTTGATGTTGGAAAGATCTTGAACAGGTTGCCATGGGTTTGCGCATGCCACACGTCATATCTGCCTGTGTTGTGAAGACGCGGTCTCATTGGAGCTTTTCGGCTCGTTGGTCTGGAAAACGGTTACTCCAAGGCCTTGAGGCGCATTCGCACGCTGATGTCCTTCGCAGCCAAAGCATGTGTCAAACTTAGGGTTGCGTCGCAGCCGCACCGCTCAGGCGAACTCGCCACTCTGAAACATCAGGTGGACGTAGAAAACCGTTTTCTCAGTATCCATGTCCGTCCGTGTTCGATGACTTCCACTTCCAAGAATTGGCCCTTCGGTCGATGGCATTCAGGCGCGTATGAGGGGGCCGCTGGAGCTCGATGTCAGGATCTCGCTGCAGTCCTTCAAAGCTGTGAAGTGGCCCTGTGCCACGGCGGTCACATGCGGTCGGAGTGGTCGGATGGTCATGTGGTTCGGCTTTCTGCGTGGTGCGGTCGTGGTGCTTTCCCTTTGAGTCACCGCTGAATGGTGACAAAGGCCTTGGCACATGTTGCCTGATCTGAGGCTCAAGGGCACAAACGAGATGCCTACGATTCCTGTGGGGCCATCGGAAACCTCGAGCGTCAGAAAGCTCAGAGAAACGGCATAGTGTCGACATGAGATCTGATGAGGCAACCTGTGAATCTCTCTCTCCCTCTCTAAACATGTATATATAATCATATCATATATCTATATAATATGTAATATATATGCTTTACCATCTTTACCATAAAGCAGGAAGGCGGTACAGGTTGAAGGTGCGGTCGTTGGTCAGTTGCGTGGTTGTCTGGCACATTGCCAAAGCCTCAAGACCATACCGTTATCGCTTATTTTTCTTTATGTGACCACCAGCTCACACTTCATTGAAGTCAGGTCTTTCTAGAATCCATCCTGCCGAAGCTGCTGAGCGAGGAACCTCTGGCTTTCGTGCGAAAATTGAGACAGCTGAGAGCAGAACATAAATATATAAATTAAATCGACTCAACAAAGCAGATTCTTGCTGGGGCTGTTTGAAGTTCGAGTGGCAGGATTCCACGAAGGCGACTGATGACAGAGGTGCAGAAGAGGAGTGCGAGGGCACGGCGCACAAAACCGCACGAAAGATCACGAAAGATGAAGCCACAAGTCACTGCAGGAAGTTCGGCTACGTTTGATGCTTCAAGACCTTTCCGACCACAATGCAGCTCGATGCCATTTTGTGGATTGCCATTTTGGTTGGTTTTGCTTGATTGAGCGGTTTGAGTGAGCAAAGTCCTCTGGCACTGAGGATGCTTTGAGACGTGAGCTTGAAGAGTTGAGCAAGCGAGAGAGTGGTGGCAAAGATCAGAGTGAACCTACCAGTGCGACCGACGCTTGCAGTGCAAAAGCAGAAGTTGACACATTGTACAAAAGAACAGTGCAAAGTCAAAAAACATCAAACTCACATAGGACTTATGTGGCAATGGCGACATATATCATCGTGTATAATCGTGTATATACATATATAATATATATTGATCGGGTCCGTCCCATTACCTGTAGCAGTCCGGAAACAATTGTAAGTATATATCTTTTAAAACAAGGCCTTTACTAACCATCATACCCCACTATTACAGGTATTAGGATAGACCCACTATATATTGAGTTGGATGTGGTGCTTGTGTTTGGCTCGGAGATCTTCATGCCTAAGGACTATGAATCAAGTGAAGTCGAGGCTGCTGACAGACGGACAGACTGTAGATCCCCGTCGGTTCATGGACTAGACAGACGTTCGCCCTCTGAACAGTGAGTGGAATGCATCGGATGATCCGTGTGGGAGGCTCCCATGCAAATCGCGGAGCTCCAGTTGGCCCTGGCGGAGGCTTACGAACAGTTGGCACGATGGCAGCAGGAGAACGTCATGGAGTTATGGAGTTCAAGCTCGGCGAGTGAAGTTGTAAGTCTAATTACTAATTATTGTTTCCTAGTAGCTTCTTGTTACTACTAGTAAGGCACTTGTTACTAGGAGCGATGCACTTGTTCCTAGTAGCTTCCTTATAGTGTGTTTATTCGTGCCCTTTAGGCAATTTGTTTGTTTATTCTTTCTCATGCAGTTCTTGCATTTGAACGGAACGCATCATTGAGAGGAGGACCCCGAGGCATCATCCCTTGTGGCGCAATATCAAGGAGAAGCGCTGGGCCGCTTCAGAGACCATTTTGCAATACTGGAGAACGAACATTTAAGTTGGTGGGAGGGCCCGCCACTACTACACTAGCTTCCAAGAGCAAACATTTAGTAAAACTTCTTGGCGCCTCACATTCACATGACGAGGTGACAAACATCGTGTGCACCTTGTTGTTTAGTAGAGCTGGGTTGATAATTCAAGTTGTCCAGTCTGTTTTGCTAGGGTCGTGTTAAAGGCGGCACGCGAGAGAGCCGAGCAACTAACCAAGGTAGCGCTAGGAACTGCCAGGTGTGTGCCGGGGGTTTCTTTGTTGCCGATCTATATATAACAGATGCAGTCAATGAAATGGGCATTGTTGTGTGAACGTGCAGTTTGGGGCTCATTCAGTTGATTCAGTTATGGTTATCATGGCCGCGCCTTTGTGCTCTTTTGCTGTGCGCTGTGACACTGCAGGGAACCAGCAGTGCAGAGACAAAACACAGCACCAACGGAGCGAAAACCTCAACGTGATCTCGGCAGAGCCCGCATTGTTTTCTTGGCGGTGGAGCATTTGTGCACACAAGAACACAAGAAGTGCAACTTTGTCCATAGGCCCACAGGTTTATAGCTCCATGGTCCATGTGCTTGTAAAATGTTCCACATCACAGGTGCCTAGCTATCCTAGCTTGAGCACTTTGACCACATATCACACTGCTCCCCTTTGCTTCGGAGGACTGGGCCACCAGCTTCTGGGCAGATACTGGATGAAAAAGGACATACAGGACTTGAGGGGCTGGTATGCTGTGTGGATGCCTCCAATACTGCACCGCCCGTACCTTATGTGATTACGTTGGAGCTGCTTCTAAGCCTTAGCCGAACCACAGCCGAGAGTGGTCAGACGTCGCAGGCAAGGACGGCTTTCTAACTGATTCGGGCTGGGCCACTGGGTGTGTGAACACTCGCAAAAACACAATAGGCTGGACACGAGGTCTTTGCATTGGATTTCTTTCAACATTTTTCAACATTCACATCGAAGTGGGCAAGTCTTAAAAAAGTCAACACGTTTAAGCTCTACTGAAAGGCTTCGTAAGGCCTGCAGAACCATCTTGAAATCATCAGCACCCTGATTGTCACTATGAAAGCAGGCACAGTGTCAGTGGGTTGTGAGAAGATTCACGCCGAGATGGGAAGTCCGATGACGGGCAAATCAACAACCTTTCCGGTACCAAGTCGTATCAAGCATCATGTTCAGTTTTTCCTGTCCCGCCTCCCTGGCTCAAGCCACCCATGTTTTGCGCTTCTTTTGTGCACATTGGGCTGGTCTCCACATCTGTCGGCCATCTAAAGCCTAGGCCTAGACCTTCAGTTGCATCCAGCTGCCTCCTTAAGAGTTTGCTAGCCCATTCAGGTCTTGTGCTGGACGCCCTGGCCGCTTTGCTGCATGATGCGCGAATATGTCCATTTGAGCTGGCGGCGAATTAGAGCAGTTCATCCGATTGATGCTGGGCTGATGCAAAGAACTTCAGAAAGCTGGCTGCGCCGCAGTTCTGCCACAAAAAGAGCAAACCTGGGTTCAGCTTCGTTGCTTTGCTTACATGCGCCAACGTCCAGTCTGTGAGCAAGTGGCAACATCTGGTGACGCTGAGGCTTTATGTGCTGCAGAGCAGGGCATGGTGCTGCTCAAAGTCTTGGGCACTTCGAAGGCGCCAAGACATGCCAAGACTGGCAGCGGAAAGCACGCAAACCCTCGCCATATCTCGAGCCTGCCTCAAAACTTTGCAGGTGGAGGAGGTGGCCGCTTTGATCAAGGCTTGGAGTTTAGTAAACTGTAAACATGAATCTGAAGGTTCATCAAGGCTGGAGGTGAAGCTTAGTACAGTTTGCTTAATATGTGGCCGTAGCCAGCGGCTTCTGCTGGACCCTGGGTCCACATGGCGGCTTGCATGTTTAACCACCGGAAATGCTTGACAGGTGTCGGATTGCTTGCTAGCCTTGAACAAGGGCCGCACCGCTCTTTTGCGCGGGCCGGGCCCAGCATGTTGGCATCCTCCGTGTCACGCGTCCGGAGTTTGTGGATTGCTTCTTTGCGCTTCAGCACAAAACTTCCGCCAGGCGTGAGGCTGGGATGCGGTGTAAAGGTGACCGTGCAGAAGCCATGGCTTTGCAGGCGGTCAATGTGGCATCACGAGAGTGGCATTCAAGTCATGATACATTCGGTCAGGAATGCATTTCAGATCGTTTCAGGCATTTCAGAAACTGCTCCTTTTCACTGCGACTCCCCTGACACTGCGTTTCAGTTCGTAAACCACGGCTTTGTGTTGCCTCTTGCGAACAAGCATGCGCACCAGCAGCAGGATGACATAGGATCGCAAGACTGAAGACGCGAGCTGATGTTTCAAAGTGCCACTAGTTGATCAAAATGGAAAAGAGCAGCTTTTCAATCACATTGAACTGAACTATACAATGATTAAAGCAACAGCAAGACAGCAGATTTGGCTTGGGCCCTCCAAGCATAGCCCCATGGAGGGCTTAGATGCCCTCCAAGCTGCCATCGAGAAGGGGCACGAAGAGGTGGAGCCTTTTGACAGTTGACAGTACTGTGTTCGCCAGTAGGTTGACGAACGGTATTTGTTAAGCATTCAGTTCATCAAGCAGTCAACCCACCAGGTGCGCCATGTGATCACGCTGCAAAGCCGCTACTTGGTCGAGCCTGATTGCATTTGCCAAGTTTGGTGAGACCAGAAGAGAGTGTTGGATGTCTTGGAAGCACTTGATCCAGTCACCCCAAAAGTCTCTCAAAGTGCCACATGCTTGTTGCGGACTGTTCAATGGGTTGCCAAGGCTTGATTGACAAAGTTGCTCAAGAGGCCTGCCACAGCCTGGGTTGCAGCTAGGGAGGTCACAGGAATGCTTTGTCCAAGACATGTGTATCGTTGGTTGAAGTGGGACTCGTTTCTTTGAATCATGTTCAATCTTTTGTTGAGCCGTTTGGGCTCGCCATAGCGGTAGAATGGACAGTCAACATGAAGCCTTTCGCGCCTCAAGAGCCCTTCCGATCGTAGTTCTTTCAGAACCGATTCCTCTTGCAAAGCCTAATGTAGTATAATGTAGTAAACTAAAGGCATGCATGTCTCAGAATCTCAAAAAGGGACACCCAGCGTCCACTGTCCACTGTTTACATCCTGGCTCCAAAAGAGCATATGCGGCAATTGTTAGAGACACACGCGCAACACTGCTTAGAAGATCTTAGAAGATGCAGCAACAGTTCAGCTCAGCAGGGGTGCCAATCCCAATGCTGGGCTCATGCGCTTGAAGGCTTTGAACCCTCAAGCACTATATACCGGCAGATGCTAATCACATCTAATCACCATAAGATGCTAAATATTTATATACGTGGGCAAAATGACTTGCATAGATATGTCAGAGTTGATCCAAAGATGTAAGGGGGCTGTATATAAAACGACCTTTTGGATGCTGTCCAAGCATCCGCGATGAGGTCAGCGAAAGTATTGTTGCGAAAGATATATCGTCTTCATGTTCATGTTAGTTCCTGTCTAAAGGCAATCCTCCGGCAGAGCCGGTGGGCGGAAGCATCCCCACAGACTAATGACTGAAGCCCCGATATGCCCCAATGTCCGGTTCCAAATTTGAGGCCCGCCGATTCCTCGAGCTGCATTAGCCTGTGTTGGCAGCTGGCACGAGAGTTGGATTGAGTTGTGCCCGACTCTATTTTAAGGCTCCTCCAGAACATTCCTCCAGGTTTGTCCGCACATGCTGCAAGTGACCCTGGGTAGCTGTAACAACCCTCAACCTTGTAGGTCATGCTGCGAAATGCCAACCACTATTTGTTGATGTAAAAACGTCCACATGTTAACTTAGAACGCTGTACTTTAAGACCACACTGTGCGATGACGCCACGAGAGATCCACGAAGGATCTTTTGGTCCGCAATGAATGGCCGTTCGATAAAGAATATTGATCAACACCATGTTATGTTTGCATGCCTCTCCATATAGTAATGTTTGCATTAGATTTAGTTCAATAAGGTTGCAATTTATGTTTTGATTGTTGTATATCAGTCCCCCGCACATCCCTGTACTATTGTATTCTTATGTGCTTTGGAGTGTCATGTGTTAATTTCAGTGCTCCTTTCCGACCTATTACTTTGTGTGGCAGGTCTCAGAAGTGAAGCGCCACCTAAGTGCCCAAGGAAGTAAGGCCAGGCTCCGTACTCATCACAGCGGCCATTTGCCCTTGGATTTGTGCCTGAGCATTGGACACCTTGAGCAGGTCAGGGAGGAGCCAACGGTTCATCGCAACTGTTGCAACTTTTGCACCCTGGATGGTGACGCCAAGCCAGAGTCGAAAGCTGAGAAACCGACCGACAGAAAAGCCAAGGCTTGGACGGTCGGTACGATGGTTTGCTCAAGCACAATGCCTTTTGAACGTCTTTCCTCATGACTTTGTGTCTCCCCAGATTTCACTCACCAGTCCAAGCATCGCAACCAATAAAAAACAATTAAAAACACACCTTGCGGAAGCCCCAAGGTTAGAGCCGAGCAAGACAGCTGATGTGCTCCAAACCTTGGGTGAAACCTCCGAGGCACCGATTATGTCTAACAGTGGCAAGGGTGACCCCCGCCGATTTCAAGAGAAACCCGTCGCCCTTTATCCTTTGCATGTATCGAGAAAAATTGAATGTGAGAACAATCGATGTAGCTTTCAGTTTCAACTCAGCGAGAACAACGAACGAAAGTGTGGTTTCAAACCTTTGGAAACCTTTGCCGCACAGGCACTCCCAGTTGCCTTTGACTCGGACGTTGAAGAGGCCAGGCTTTGAAACCCATGCTCTTGGAACCACGCCCTGGCTTGGAAGTCACTAAGCCCAGGCATAAAAACCAAACGTGCATGAAAGCATCCTGAGAGGTTGTTCAGAAAGTAGCCAGCGAGTCCACTCTTCAAAAGGTGCCAACCGTGCCGCAGCCGCATAAAGCATGATAGCTGTGGTGGGTTTCGTGAAATTGTCACGTTTGCAAGCTTGCACTCGCCATTTGCCAGTTGACTTGCGCTTGTGCCAATCTTTAGTTTCAATGCCAAAGGTGCAAAAGGAAGAGGAATGTGGCGAGGACGTGCGACGTTGCTTGCCTTGTCTTAAGACCAGTGACCGGTCTATACTTTCCTTCAACTCGTTTGACAAATTGAATGGATTGAGCTACAGTAGTCGGTTTGTGAGACACAGGACATTTACGGTGGGAAGTATAAGTAGGAATGTGGGACTGGGCATCCATGACGCTAAACTCCAAGCACAGTAAGCGCAGTTTGTTTTCTTTCTGCTTGGATACTGGGAGTTCCCTAGCCAGAGTTTCCAAAGTAGTAATATGATAAGTGGGATTGTCAAATGTGTGATGATTCATCATGTCATGATGTGCCTGGTTTGGCTTCTGTTCACTTCAGGCTTGGCCTAGAAGGAGCATAGACATGTCTTGGAATCGGACATGTCTTGAGCTTCCCTCGGCACAAATGCCTTGTACACCCTAGGGTGCCTGAAGCTCAGGATTTGCGGCCATTTGGAAGGATGAGGTTGACGAGCAATTAGGTGGCCGCAATGCCTGGAATGTCAAAACCGCAATGGGTGACTCAGCTTTTTGTGTGGTACACGCCACACATACAAAAGCGTGCTTTTGTGTGGTTGTGGCCCCCTCGCACCCATAGACATCATACTGTAGAACTTGATGGTCTTTGGAATCCGTTTGCAGCTTTTGCATGTTGACTGGGTTGCGAAGTTTGTGGCCTGAGGCTTTGAACAGCGAGACAAGAAGAAAGGCTACAAACCGAAGAGAGCATCCACTCACTTAAAGACTGGGATGACCTCTCCAGCCACTGAGCAGCACGAAATCGCGCAGCTGAACTCTTGAGACCTATATGTTGGGTCTGTCCTATTACCTGTAACTGTAACAGTCCGCGAACAATTAACACTATTTTTTGAACAAGGCCTTTGCTAACGATCATCATCCACTGTTTCTGGTAATGGGGTAGGCCCAAGCTATATGATACTGTCAATGACACGTTTGTCCATTTTGTCGAGGCTGGGGGCGGTGCAGCAATATCTGCAAAGGCTCAGAGAAGAGAAAAATCTCGGATGAGACCCTCATCTGCAGTGATTCACTGAAGGACGTGAGTTCCGGTGACTTAGGTCTGATCTCTTTCTGGTGGTGTGTGATGATAATTTATCCTTGTTTCTCACTCTCATAAAGTGTTTGGACTGTGTGTGTGTGATACCTCACTGTGTATGCACCAGTCAGACAATGATCATGCATGATTATGCAATGCAGGCCCATTTGCGGCTACCAAGCCCTGGTTTGTGTATAGATGTTTGTAGGTGCTGCGCGATGAAGTGTTGCTGAGGTGTTTTCCAGCGATTCATCACCAGCACGTCTTTTGAAACTTGGCCAGAAGCATTGGGCGTCAACTGATTTTCTGGATAAATAAGCTATGGAAGGGGCTCATGGAACCAGCACTCCGTAGCCAAAACATGCCAAAACTAGAAAAGTGGCTAAGTGGCAGTGCCGGCAATGCTCCAGATTGTGATGGGTATTCTAGCGGTTTCACAGGGGGCTCTCAAAGCACTTTCTGATTTTTCTGGACATAGATGCCATCAAAGCACTGAGTCACCGACAGATAGACAACATTTCACGACCGGGAGCGGAAGTACTAAGACTTCAAATGGATACGGTATGGCCCATGAGCAGATCAGCCGTCAAACTGTGTTGACCCACTACAGACGCACTACATCATTCTAGTGAATCAAGTTTCATTCAAGGCGACCATCCCTGCTCATGTTCCTGGAAATGCCACAAACAAAGCCATTTTAGAAGGTGTCCGCAATGAGAGTAAGTGCATGGAACAGAGACACACCCACGAAGCCAGACCAACTCTCGTTCGATCTTCCCCTTCAGGACCAACTCTCAGGCTGCCTCATTTTGCTTCACTCCTTCAGTGTGGGCATGGAGGCCGTACACACCATGTGTGCACAAACCTACTAACCTACTCGTGATACGCCCGCGGAAGCCCACGAAAGCTTGTAGGCGAATGACCGTGCAATGAACCCCATGGATGCCTGCGGAGGACCATGGGTGCTGTTCTTAGTGCAGGCTTTTGAGCCATTTGACCACTGACTCAAGGTCTTTTTTGTGCTTGATCCTTTGGCTGGGGTGTGTGTGTGTGTGCGCGCGCGGGTGTGTGTGTGTGTATGTGTGTGAAACCCTTGGAATCACAGGGAATCCTTTGATTGTCAGCAGGGGGATCACCCGCAGACTTAACTGGTGATCCAACCAAGAGGGTCAAGCTCCGTGCTCATATCTGGCCTGATCAGCCAGACGTACCTGCAGTGATTACCACTTACTTCCTCCTCGGCCCCGCTGTCACTGGAACAAGTCGCTGGCCATTGCATCGGTTTTTGAGCTCACGCGTTTGTCGCTTTCGTTGGGGCTCTCGACGATGGATTTGGAGGCCTTTAATTTGAGGTGTCGAAAATGTTCAGACCACCTACTTACACCTATCCTGGCTTTCTTAGGTTTTTACTTAGGCTGGCGTGTGGCAAGCCGCAAGTCGTGTCCGTACGCAATATCTCGAGTGTGTGTGTGTGTGACCTGGGTTTCCAACATGGTCCATGGTCCTTGATCAAGTAAGACACGTGCACTCTTGCGTTTTTTGGAACTTGGGAAAGGCTCAAAAGTAAACATATTGAACAAACACGGCATGGAAGTTTCATTCAACCCGATATTGGGACGGCCTAGGCCACCTTGCAGCTACTTGGCTTTGCGGAGTCAACACTGGTTAGATGAAGGAACATGAAGCAACATGAAGCGCCCTTGAATCAGTTGACTTTGGCATTTATGGAGCATGTTTGCCCCAGGTTTGTATGCAACGTTATTTTCACACTTGAGCTAGTCATCCGGATCTTCAGCTTCGGTGCCAAAACCTTCTTCTGCGGCGTAGACAGGCAAGACTTTTAGTGCTAGCGTGCGATGTGGTCACTGGGGCAATCTTGCAAGCGGGTCAGGTGCGTGGCCAATATAGTAGTCCTATTCCATAACATTCCTACTGCGGCGTGTGTTTCTCCTGTTTCTGAAGGCATGCGCTTCTACATTCCGCATCCAAAGTGTATTCCTTTGCAACATGTGTGAGACAGCAACACTCCCCAAAGGTAAAGGCGTTAAGGGGATATAACTTTTTCTACCCACCAGTGCAGGCTGCGTCCGACGAGCGAGACCGTGCAGAGGTCAATATAACTGTGTCCCGTGAAACATCGGTACAACTGCTGAGCTCAGCAGTTTGTTTCCCACATCGTAGATCATCCTAATCCTAGTTGCTTGAATCTGCCCGGTCGCACCGCGACCTCCGACACTGCGATTTGCAGGTCTTGGAATTGGTTTGATTTGCTGGTCATCTCTGGGGGAATTATCGAAGAGATTCTTCAGAGAGCACCTTTGCTTAGTGAGACAAAGGACCCATAAGGACCCCAGGTCGCATGGAGGTTCAGGGTTCGGACAACGTTGGCATGCGAGAGTATGAGTGCCGACAAATCGTTGTTTGCTTTCTGTGATTCGCCCTTTGAGTGCCACCAGGTAGTTCTGGTGGACTGCAACCGCTGCTTGGCAGCAGCAGTTGTGTCGCTTAAAAAGAACTGCGATGGCTTTGCAAACGGTACCTGGTACATGTCAAAAGGTCGAGTTCATGCCACCATTGTTGCGTGGATGTGTTCAGTAAGACCCAGTTTACCTACAGACTCACCCTTGGGGACCAGTTTTCTCCGCCGGTCTCCACCTAAGGCGATGCAGTGCCTTGGCTCAGACTGGGCCTATGACGAAACGGCCGATTTGGACATGGTAGGGGCACAAAAACATGGCCCGCACGCAGAGTTGCTTTCATTGTGTGCTGGCATTCAGTGCACTGGCCTGGCTGAGGATAGCAACCAACTCATGACCATGCTCACAATGCTGCGCATCCTGCGAATTCTGCGCATGACGCGTTTGATGCGGGCAGTTCGCTTTATGAACATATTCCGTACCCTTGCGGCAAGTCTCCTTCAAGGCCACGGTTTACAGATGTTAACATCACAGGCATGTGCAGACACCAAGGTGAGTTACGCGTCATGGTTCAATCTGTTCTTGGCTGCCTCATTCCGCTCTTTTGGTGCATTGTGTGCCTGCGGCTGAAAGTACAGCGGCTGGAAAGCGTGTTTGATTTGCCACAGGTTAGCAGACTAATTGTGCAATCCTGAGATTATCCTAAGGCTTTTGTTCTTCATCCAATGGTGCTTCGCAATATACTTCATCACCGTGACAGCTGACACTGTGCAGGCCAAGTTTGGATTCGGCTGAAGCACAATCCCGGGTGTTCGGTGAGGTAAGGCGTGCTACGAGGTTCTTCCTGATTCTAAACCCATTTGGATCCTGCTGCACCAAGAAGTGGATGTGTTTTCACGCCATGACTGGGCGATATTGAATCTTTGAAACAAGTCCTCAGCAAAGATGAAGATGAGGCAAGGCAGGCGTAAAACGCTTGACTTCTCCCCGGCTCAGGGAATGAACAAACAGCCTGAGCAGTGGGCCTACCTCGATGATTTGAAAGGGCTGGGGCCCTACTGTGTGTTGTTGGGGGCTAGGATTGAGCACCCACGTTGGTGTTTGCGAGCCGATGCCAGTCTCAACAATTTTTGTCGTGTCATGGCCAAGGCTCGAAAATGAGATTACGGACAAGTTTGGTTCCTTGTGGAAGACCTTGTACGTATTGCCCTTACATGAGAAGCATGAATGCCGCAAGGCACAAGGAGCATCGATGTGCAATGATCGTGCATGCTCCGAGGTGTTATTCCTCTCAATCGCTGGTGGTTTGGACTGGGGAGCAGCGGCAGATCTCTTCATCAGGACTGAGAACTACATAGCAACTTCGGCCCAAGTTGCCCAAGAAAGACATGCCTGATCTTTTGCATGAAGAAAGAGGGAGAAACGCAGCGAGCGTCCTGAGTCCTGATGACAATAGAATTTGTAATGTAGTATTGAAGCCTCCCTAGAGTCCTAGAACCAACGGAGCAAATTTCAGCTACAACTGCGAACACGTTGCTTTCTTTCTCTCTCTCTCTCTCTCGCTCTACTGTACTGTACTTATATACTGTTGATGAAAGTATCACAACCACGTTCCCACAAGTGACATCATGTTTAGTCTTCGGCGGGTCTCTAATTACTGAACATGGAATACATGTTACATGTCCCATTCATTTGTAAGATGGCCAGGGACTAAGAAATACAAGGCTCTTCTGATGTGCTGCTAAATGCCAGGTGGCCCATGACTTGTAACAAGCTAACTACCACAAACCTCAAACGATAACATGTGCCATGTGCCCTTTTTGATCCTAGCATTGTTGGGATACTTGCAAACAAGCCTTGGTCCAACCTTGGTGTCGAAGAGCAGATTGCACCACAAGGAGTCAGTTCAGTGCACAGGGTCAATTGCACGCAAGAACGCATCAACGTCTAACAATGATCTACTGTGGTGCTTGGCACCTCAAAAAGTTGTGTGAAGTTGCTACTAGGACTTACATATGTATTAATACTATTGTATACTTACATTATGTGCCCGCAGCTGTCGGGCACCAAAGAAGCTTTTGCCATTTTGGGTACGTCACCCTAGCTCCTATCTTCGATAGGATCACCTATGTAGGTGCTATAGCTGAACGTCGCCGGACTTCGTGAGCCCCGTGTTGATATTTCGGTAGCGGGGCCACACGATTCGGGACTTTGGCTATGTCCGCGGTGCGAGAGCACTTGGAGCAGGCACCATCGGTGAACCTGCTCCAGGAAACCAATAAACCAACCTATAATTTGCTCAAAATTTGGGGATATTTGCAGGGAAGAATCTACTTGCAAAACAGTACCTTAGCGCAGGCGGAAAAATCCACTTGCAAAACGGCGGTTTCTGTGAAAGAGATTAAAAAGTTTGAGGAACATGGTGCGCGGCACTTGTCCAGTATGGAGCTTTGCTGGTCCAACAGGGCTCGAAGAAAGTTCCGTTTGGGTACTGATGGCTCCGGCTCGCAGGGCCCAAGCTTCGCTACATCCAGCTTCACATTTGTTGCCCCCGCACCACCATGTTTGGTGCTTCGCAAGGCGGCACTTGGAGCTGGCAGCACTTCGCACACAAGAAAAGTAAAGCCAGACAGCCTTCAACGTGCTAAAGGGGCATGCTTGAGACCCTGGACGCCCTCGGCCATGAATGTCTTGGAATCCGAGCGCAGCATGAGGGAATCTTGAGCTGACTGACGTGGTGCTGTCTTTAAGTTCGGTGGGGTTACAGCACCTCAGGACACTGTGCGAACCTTGGGTTGGAAGCGGGCTAGGGGAAAAAAGAAAGACACATCTGTTTCCCGCAGCCAAGCCAAGCCGTTTAATTTGAAAACAATGGGTGCGGACACGCGTTTTGTCATTCGAAGAGATTATATTATAGACGCAGACGAAAGGAGGTTTGATTGATTGGTGCAAGAAGTGTTTGTAATTGCAGCCGTATGGCCAAGCAGGGGCAGAAATTCAAATTTATTGTTGCGATGACGAACCGGAATCGGCAGGTGGTTCAATTTTGGGATTAGGAATCGGCTGTGGAGTTCGCCCGGCCCAGGCTTTCTGGCCGGGCGAGAGAAGTGAAGGATCGGGTGCTTGGGGGCGATACCCCAACACAGCATGATTCGCTGAAGTTTAGAAAGGTTGAAGTGTCGCCCTACCCTCCTGTCAAAGGGCGGGTGGCCACTCAATGTTTGTGAGGTGTTGGGTTTCTACCTTCTCATATGGAATCACAAAGATGATCGCAGGACAAAATCCGGTTATTCTTTCTCTTGATGTTGGGGGTTCGCCAGATTCCTGGAGGATGTTTCGTGACCAAATGTGGATGCTCGTAGTGGCCTTCAAAGAAGTCAATGTGCTCTTCGATGACCGAACAAAGTTTTCAGTCTACTTACCAACAAAGGCTCTTGTCAGGGGTCGGCTAAGCCCTCAAGAAAAGAAACAATCAATCAACAAAGAGTAATCAATGAACATTCTTCCGCACTGAGGCTGGTAGTAGTAGCAGCAGGAGGAGTAGTAGTAGTCGTAGTAGTAGTTCCAGTGTCAGTATCAGTAGGAGTGGTAGCGGTAGCGATAGTAGTAGTAGTAGTAGTAGGAGTAGTCGTAGTGGTAGTCGCAGTAGTAGTAGTAGTAGTAAGAGTAGGAGTAGGAGTAGGAGTAGGAGTAGGAGTAGGAGTAGTAGTAGTAGTAGTAGTGGTCGTCGTGGTGGTGGTTGTGGTGGTAGCAGCAGTAGTTGGAGTCGGGGTAGCTGGACCGACCCAGAACGCCAGAAGATCTAATTGATAGGGGTGATGCTCATTTGGTTACAGCTCTCCTCTTGCAGCTCATCCAGCTCTCCTTCCTTGTCAGTCAGGTTGTTTTTCCTCTCCGCTTTGACTTTCCTCATGTGTTGTGGTTCTGACCGCAGTCAGGCAGTACTTGCTTTCTTGTTCTACGTGGCATTGGTGGCAATGGCCGTGCTCAATGTTGTCACGGCTGTGTCCGCAACTGAGTCAGGAACAAAATCAACATTCAGCAGGGTCAGCCAGAGAGCCTGTCCATAGTAAGATTAATTCCTGCAGGTTCGTGGAATATGCCATGAAAATGGCGGAGGATGACCGTGATCTTGTGATTCAGGATTATTTGGACAAAGATTCCAAATTCAGCAAGGCAGCCGGGCGCTGGGTTGGAGTGTTTGTAAAACCTGAGGCTGGAACTAGAACAGCTAGAAATGAGCAGGGATGAAATGACCCAACATCAAGTTGGCAAAGTTCATGCAACAACTCCATACAGTTAAAAGAACTGACGGCAAGGGCTTACATCCTGGCTAAAGTTGTTGGAGGCATCGGTCAAGTGGAAAGATGCGCCGTATGACACTTTACATGCCAGCCGTCGGATTGCTCCGTTTGGCTGCGGGAGGATGCAGTGGCAGTGTTCCAGGAAGCAGATGCTGATGATAGTGGCTCTATCACTTTCGAGGAATTCACAAACCACTTGGAAGACGTTCGTGTGCAAGCCTTCCTGCGCAGCAGCTTGGCTTGGCGAGTTGTTCGGTGACCAAAGGCATAACGTTGATCAATGTCCATCAGGATCTCCCCAAAGCTCTCTCTCTCTCTCTTTCTTTCTTTCTTTCTTTTGTTCATTTCTTCACAACAACCCATGTCATACACCAAGGGGCCAACCACCACCACCACCACCACCACCACCACCACCACCACCACCACCACCAAAGAAAAAACGCGGGTGACGCGAGCGAGGCAGGCCGTGTTTTGTCGACCTTTGAGTCATGCTGAGTACTGTAATGTCGAGGCATGGGGCTTGATGGCGTTGAAGCTGTTCGTTTATTCAAGCTTTTGGATGCAGACTGCAATGGTGAGATCGAGATCAACGAGTTTCTTGACAGAACTCAGAACTCCCCATTGCAACACCGAAACGTGGCGGTTTCAATCCATCCCGCCAGCGACAGTTCTTGTTAATGCAGTCGTTTGTCGTCGATGAGGGTCCAGAACGCCATTGCGATCCTGGCCTCGAGTGACAGATAGTTGCAGTACTGTAGGCAATAGAGTGTAGACATCATGCAGTGCGCCTCAAATGGCTGCCAGGAAGGCCGTTCCTTCGTTCACCAACTGTTCAGGAACAATTCAATTAGCAAAGGATCGATCTTGTTTCTGGGGTCAGCCATGGGCATGTTTCCAAGTTAGTTAAGCGGCAATCATTTCAGAAGCAGCGTGTACGGCAGTTTCAAGGGCTTCATCCCATACAATAAGCAACCGAAGATGGATCCCAGACTCAATAGGATGAGATATGCGGAGAGGCGGACCTTTTCAACCGCACCGTGCTGAAGTGGGTATGCCGGTATGCCGTTTAACGCTCACTGTTAGATTTGAAAGACATTCAGAGCTCAGGTTTGTATCAGGCTGCATGGTGTTGCGAGGGGGGGCCAAAACATTGGACCTGGCGATGCTGCTGATGGAGCAGCAGAAGGCCAAGTGTTTTTGGTTTGCGCATGTGATCCAACTTCACCAACATTCGCAACCGATAAATATTACTATATAATATCCAAATTTGCAGGGATCTTGGGGCACAAGCCTGAAGTAAGTCACTTCAGGTTAAACTTGTACATTCATGAAATCTTGCTTGTTTTGCAAAGTTGTCTCCCAAGCAGCAGGCTATGACGCGGTGGATGAGCTTCATGAGCTGCTTGGCACCAATTTCTCAACCCAATCATGGCTCCAAAGGCTGTAAGTGTAGGTGTTGTAGTGCAAGGTCCTCATAGGAAGCAAAAGCCTAGAGATGCCTCTCTAGACAGAGATAGGCTCAATAGACTCTAAATGTCCAAAAAATGTCTGAAGTTTCTGCTGATTGAACGTCTTGAGCTTCGTGACGGACAGGCACATTTGACATCAAAAAGCGCCCATGACGATACTTGAGGCTACGTGGAGTTGCGGCTGAACGAGATATCGAGAGTCCAGAAATGGTTATCCTTTGCAGGCCCGATTCCAACCATATGTCACCAGATCCCTTCAGTTGTAAAGCACGGCGAGCTGGATTGACCTGCTCAAGCAGCACGGGTTGAACTGGGTTTGGCCAGAACAGACTGTCTTTACTTCTCGAGGCTCCCACGCCAGCCTCACCCAGACGTGACCCTGCTGGCAACCAGCAAGGCATGACAGGCATGAGGTCTTTTTTGGCTATCGGCCAGTTGCTTGATGGCAAAAGCCGTCGCAGCTATCTACTAGATCTCGAAATATCGGGCGGCTGCTACTTTTTGACTTCTGACATGATTGGCCTGGTGATGCCGCAAAGTGCAGCTTTGTTAAGTTCCTTAGAGCTATGGCTATGGTACGATCCTGGAGCTTTCAAATGTGTTGAATTATTAATTATGATTCATGATTCTGGTAGGAGCTTTAAGGTTGACGGCTGTACTGTAAGTGTATCACTCACCAGACCATACATGAAGATCTTGACTCTGACGTGATTTGTCGAAGCAAAGTTTGCCATCAATAGGCTCCAACCAGTGCGGTTGTCCTCCCCATGTCCAACGTCGAGGTCTTTGTGTCGTAGGGCGTCTTACGCCTGGCGTCTCACTAGAAGTTACTAGAAACTGCCGGCGGCCGAAGTAGTAGATCGAGCAAAAAGACATGGCCAGCAGAAGCTGGCCAGTTGAAAGGGTCGAGAGAGCGGTACCAGCATGTGGCCCCATGTGCTCTCCCAACCCAATACAACAAACATACTTCAATATGCTTTGTGGGGTCTAGTCCAACTCCGATGTGTTTTGCCTCGACAGATTGTTGCTGCAGCTCAGCCGGTACCTTACGCTTGGTGCTTTCCGAAGGGTAGATCTCTCCAGCTTTCGATGACATTCTCCTGCGATCAGAAGTGGTGTGATGCAATAAACTCTGCACTTGGTTTCACCACGGCCACCCTTCATCCAACTTGAATTTTTCGTACGTTTGCGTGTGCAATTTCTGGACGGACACCCCATCTGTAGCGGCGAAAGGTTACGTAATCTTTACTCAAAAGTGTGTGTAATTCTTTGCTCGTGCATGGGCGGTAAAAAAGCCTGAACTGATGCAAACACTTTTCCCCAACGATCAACGCGAGAGTATGTCCGGCTCACTTGTTTTGTGCCGAGGTTACATTTGGGCAAGCGGAAGGACTCAAAGCGTACAGCACAAGAAGGCCAACAGGTGGGATTGTGTTGAAACAGTTTCTCACCAGACAATCACCATGCAGAATCTTACCAGGTCGCAGCAGCTTGTGCAGATGATAGCCTCATGGCTCGTGCCATTCGGGACGAAGCCGCCGCGTGGGAAGCTTATGTGCCAAGCAAGGTGGACTGTTGAGTAGTCAACCCACCCCATTTGGACTGAAAAAAACCTTCCTGTGGGGGGGGGGGCCGTTTGTTGCAAATGCTGGACGAAGCCCCCGAACCCTCCCGGCTTTGCCCTCCATCCGCGTCGTCAAGGCTGGCAGTCCTGGATGATTACGAGGAAGCTTGCAGACGTACAGACCTCATTTGGCTATATTTAAATATGGGGTTTGTCCGACAGTACCTCTAAGAGCCGATAATGTCCATCAGTTTAGAGAAAGGCTTTTGCTAAGCAACATCCACTGCGACTGGTAATGAGATAGACCCTATATAGTAATATATATATATATATATGTTAGTATATATTAATATAAGTTCCACTCGAGAAGTGTCTTCTGAGGCCTTCAAGAGGCGCAGGCTTTGGCTTCCAAGGCTCGTAGTAGTCTGGATTCCTTCGGGTGAACAATCACGTTACATAGATAGTCATGCATATCGTATGTCAGATTAACAACAGTCGGCATAGGTGATCTTTGTCTACTGAAATATACTATTACGAAAGCCAGCCGATAGGCTAGGCTTGAGCTCTTAGAGTGAACGAAGTGAGTTAAGGGGGTGTGGGGGGGGAGGGTGCGAAAAGGCACCTTTTGAGAGGGTGAACCCGGAGCTTGGTAGGGGAGAGCGCTCCAAAGCGAGGATCAGAAAAGCAGTGAACATGAGGTCTGGTGATGCGAGTGATGCAATGGACGCAGAGTAGTGCATCATTGGCATCATGAAGGGGTCGCCGGAGTCTCCGTCATGCCTGCGTCTATCAACAACAAGCTGCTCACCAAGTACATGAGGAACGGCCAACCCTTGTGCGCCAGCTTCTAGACGGAGAGTTGCCCCATGTTGCCCCAAGGATCCATGCGATGAGCGGCACAAGTGCGCCATCGTGTTGCAGAGCGGCCGGGCTTGCGGTGGCAATCATAGTGCGCAAGTGGAGACAATTTTCTTTTCCTGAGCAGAGCACAGCATGAAGTGTTGAATGTTTTAGGCTTTCTCGATTTTCCTGGCGCGGTGCCCTCTGGAGCGTCACTGTTTGGTGGTCTATTTGAGAGTCCGGGAAAAAAGAATCGTCAGTGAGGACCAGGAGAAGGATGCCCGAAAGGTGGTTTTTGGTTGTTTTGAAATGTGTTTCGGGCATCGTGCAGCAATGCGAAGCCCTATGAAGAGCAGGGCTGGGAGAAAGAAAAGAGGAGAGCACTCATTCTTGAGTGGTTGTGGTTTTCGTGGAGCTGGTATCACTGGGATGTAGATGAAGATCGGAGCACAGCATGAAGTGTTGAATGTTTTTAGTATTCTTGATTTGCTTGGTGCGGCGCCTTCTGGAGCGTCCCTTGTTGGTGTTCTTTTTGAGAATCCGTGCAAAAAGAGACGTCAGTGAACACCAGGAGAATGATGCCCGAAATTGTTAGTGGTTGTGTTGAAATGTGTTTCGGGTATCGTGCATCAATGCGAAACCATGCGAAACCCTATAGAGAGCAGGGCTGGGAGGAAAAATAGCAGAGCACCTATAGTTGAAAATTTGTAGTTTCGTGGAGCTGGTATCACTGCGGCTGAGATCAAGATCGGAGCACAACATGAAGTGTTGAACGCTTGCAGCTTTCTTGTTTCTCCTCTTGCGGCGCTCTTATCCCCAAGCCTCTACCTCGCCCAACTGCACATACTCACATCGTTCGCTCCCAGAGCGTTCACTCTTTGTTGCTTGGTCCTTCTTGGTATGATCAGAGCTACACAGTCCCTATGCCCCGATCACTGCCCCGATCTTGATCTACCTACTCCACGTTGATACAAACTCCACGAAAGCTACAGGCATTCAACAAAAAGTGCTCCGCTATTTTTCCCTCCCAATCTTGCATTACCATATTGGTCTCTCGTGGCTTTCGTCCTCTCCTTTCTCAGGTATGTTAATATATAATATATATACACTATACTGGTACATGAGTGTGTGTGTTAATGTACACCGGTAGACCGGTACATCCATGCACTGGCACAGTTGTTGAATCTGCGCAATTCGCCATTTTTGCAGAGATTCCCATATTGTTGTGCTAGCAATGCATATCATTGAGAACCTTTCTTGTAGACATCCTTCCTCTTCAGGCCGGGAACCTTACTTTGCAGGCCTGAAGTGTTTCCTGGCAGCCCATGTTTGATGTTCCCATCCCCCAGTGGATTGCCCGGAGCAGGCTGCCATTCAGCGCTTCATTGCTGACGTGCACATCAACCGCGGTCAGTTCAAGGAGGTAGGAGAAGCAGCAGCCAATCATTCAACACTTATATAGTGTTATGCACTGACAACTATGCCTATGCCTGACATATACTTGAAATGACAGAGAGAGAGATATTGAGAGGTTGAGAGCGCGAGAGAGAGAGAGAGAGAGCTGATTCTTCTTCTTTGAGTTGATGATTTGCAATGGTAGAGCCACCCTTCCTGGTTTGGTTGGTTCGTGGGGTTTCACAACGGCCTTTCAGCCTGGGCCTAGGCGTGCAAAGCAAGCTTTCCCTCTCATGGTGCATTTGGTCAACCAGACGATTCTGCTAGGCACTCTCTGCTGCCAGAGAGGCCGTTGAGACTTCAGAACGACAAGGAGACAAGCCTGAACCCTGGCGCATCCTAGGACCATATGTTCTTGATTGATCCAAAATCCCAGTGGATCTAGATTCTAGATGTTGTTCATTCAACCTTGCGGGAACATGTTCTGGTGATCACATTGTCAAGAGACAATCGGGGGGTTGAGTAGAAAGTCCGACGTTGATGCTTTCGATGGGTACTTGGCCATACGGAGCATATCGCGTTGCAAAAAACTTGCCCCACTCTCTCCAAGGCGGAACATGGCGAGGGGTCTGGAGACAGTTGGAACTGTTCACACCTCAGGATTATATAAACCCGAAGCATCCCAGTCGGGGCAGTGAACCATTGGTGTGTCATGGATTGATTGTACCACTTACGACTCAAACATAGATGCTTTTGGGTCTAAATTTGTGGAAACCAGTCGACTGCACTTGGAGGCTCAGGGAGTTCTGCAAAATTTTCAGCAGGCGAAGCGAGTTTCTGTGTGGAACATTTGGGAAGTGATGAGCGATTCGGGGATGCTAAGCGCGATGTTTGTTCAACATCATTGAAGTTGGAGCTTGATGTAGCTGGCGATGCGGAAGGCAGTAAGCAGCAGGCATTTTGTAAGACCCGCAGGCAACGACTACAGCTCAGGAGTGTCAAGAGTTCTACCAGGCCTTTAGATTCATCAGTGCAGCCTTACTGTTGGCCGGCATCCGCACATGCGACGCTTCACAGGAAGTTGGGGACCCTCTTGGCGAAGAGCGGGCCCTAGAGCTTATGGCCAAGTTGAGAGCTGCACAGGGCAAGTTGGACGTTGCTCTTGAGGCAGGACGGATATCGGGAACGAAAACACCCCCAGGGCAAGTTGAATCATCGTGTCAGCAGCTCCATCCCTTTCAAGGCCACAGTTGTCGTTACGAATTTGTAGACATTTTGCATTATCTAGACGCAAGATGAGGTAAGATGTTTTAAGATGTTTTAAGCACATACACGGACGTACAATACCTTCATCTATTAGAAAGCTTTCGACGCCAAGGGCATGGCACTTAAGCCTTATAAGTTAAGCTTGATTGTTTCGGTAATGGTGCACTTCGACTCCAGGATTCGGCTTTGGGACATTTGTCCAAGTTTTTTGCTGCCAATGTTGAGAACAGTTTTGACTCAACCAACCCAGCACAAGTTGGCATCTCAGCCCCCAAACCTTGAGCCAACATCCGGGTTTGCCACAGCGTGGGACTGATTCCCACATTCCGCATGGAAAGATGCCGTGTCCGTGTCCATGTCCTAAAATTGTCAGGACATTGCAAGAAATCGCTGCAATGATCTTGGACCTGCCTGTTGCTTGTTTATTTTGTTTGCCTTCAAATTTGTCGTGCACTTCTATCGCAGGCTGGTGAAGAACGTTTAGCTGTGGTGTTTGGCACTCAGCGCAACGATATGATGTTTCTATTACATATGACATGTATAATCCTTTTTGAAGTCAAATGGTTTCCAAATTTACACAATTATCAACATCACAGTCTTAGTGCCCTGAGGACGTAGTGTAGAAACCATGTAGTGGCTACGTAGAGAACGAATAAAACCACACCAGTAAGGACAGGGCAAGAAAGCAAACTGTTTTGGACCTGCGAAACATTTGCCCATCGTGTGTTTTATAGCTCTCGCTGATCAAGGAGGAGAGTTGATTCTATTGTTTTCTTACTCTTGTAGAACAGCCTTAGCCAGGGCACACCATTCCGAGACTGCAGCATAGCGTCCAATGTTGCGGGTTGGTCCTGACCAGCTCCACAAAGATGGCGTCCGAGGCGTGAAAGCTGCGGTCCAGAGAAGGAGGCCGACGCATTGCATCAGGCTGGACGACTGCACACGCGCACGGCACGGTCCCACGGATGTGAGCCGTCGACCGTGAGCTGTTTGACTTGAGTTTGTCCTTGAAGTCAGAGCACCAGGGGTTGCTTTGCTCCTTTTCAGTGTGTGGCATGTCGGAGCACAGATAAGCGTGAGTGGCAGTGGAGCATCCCGAGCATCCAAGGAATTAGCTCAATCGCTCAAGCTTGCCTGCCGTAGACCTGGTTGGCTGAAGACCTCGTGCAAGACACATGAGTTAAAATGAATACTAGTGATGCACAAAGAGTCTGTGAGTGGCGGTCAGATCCCAAAAAGGCAAGTGTTGCTCAAAGATGTAACACACTCACCAGAAGCGATAACGTGATGGACATGGAACATGAGGGCACCCTTCACGGAACCCTGACGACCTTCAGCCACACAATCAGTTTGGACTTGGGCTCACATCAACATAACAAGTGGCGGCTAGAGACATGTCACAATGAGTGGAATGAGGAGATGCTTTCAACATGTGCACCCGTTAAATAAAGGAACAGGTTTGAACCGTCTCAGTCGGCCGAATGCAACCAGATGATGACGGTGTTTGGCAACCTTTGGTGGAACGAGCTGCGCTGGCTCGCCGCAGAAATGACACAGAAGAACTGGTGGTTTCACTCCATGAGATCCTGGAGAAGTTGAGAATTCCTGAGAGGTGGAGCGGAGAGCGTGCTTTGCGAATGAAGAACTTAGAGTTAAGTGTCTCCAAAGAATTGGGAGTTGACAGCATGACCACCTGGTTATGCCCTTGTCTATTGAAAGAGAGCGAACTTGCAGAAGTGTCGGAAGAGCTCATCGAAGAGCTGGCTGCTGCCAAAAAGGAAGAAGTTTTGAACACGGATCTTGGAAGCTTGGGCGTCATACAATTGTCTGTTGCCAGAGATGTGTCCGATTGGACCATGGCAGATGGAAGGTTCATTTGGCATGGTGCTCATGCCTGTTTGAAGCTCATACTTGAGGGCGGCCTTGATGTAAGAGGCAGGCGTGTTTTGGAGCTGGGCTGCGGTTTGGGCCTCGTGGGCCTTGCTTGCGCAAGAGCTGGTGCCAAGGCTGTGCTGTTAACCGACTATGACAATGAGTTACTGAGTGCATGTTCCAGAAGCATCGAATTGAACCATTTGCAAAGCGCCGTTTCGACCGAAAAGCTGGACTGGCAGCAAGTCTCTTCTGGAGGCCCCCTAGGTCCCCGTTTCGTCGATCGTTTTGACCTGATCATTGGAGCTGACATCATTTATGATGCGGATCACGCCGCGAGTGTTTTTGGAACAGTTCGGCGCCTTCTCCAAGAGCAAGTCGCAAGGGAAGGCATTTTGATCACTGGGGAACCGGAGAAACGTGAAGGTGTTTCTGAGCTGGACAGACTTCTGTCCTTGTCAGAGGTCTCGGAGGTGGTTTCACACGGGAGGCACGAATCCCTGAGCTGGGAAGCCATGCTCTTGCCAGAAGTTGCGGTAGCAGACAACCGGAAGCACCGAATGTATAGATTCTGGTGGCTGAGTGAGGCTGAGCAAGTCTCAAATGATTGAATGCCACGAAATGACATGTTCGCTGTAGGCCCCAGGCTGCCTCTTCTTTGTTGCAACCCACACCTTCAGACCGAACAGATTAAACCACCAGCTCGCATCAGGTGGCTGGTTTACATTTTCAGGCTGGAAACATTGTGGTGAGCTTAGGCTCAGTCGGCCATTGTTGGATGATCGGAAATCATCACCGCTCGCTGAGGTGCTGGCGGAGCGCACAGTCAAGGAGGCCAAAAGTGTGGCACGGAAAGCCTGGCCCTCAAATTGAAGGAGTTTCCTTGCAAGAAGCTATCGTACCTAGGATGTAGATGGAAGATGCTGATGCAGAATGACGTAGATTTAATATATATTATATATCATCAGAATATATCAGAATAGTTATCAAAATACATCGTGCTCGTGCAGCTGACTGTTGGTTCGGTTGGCTGATCTTGTTCCCTGTGTGAGCAATGACAAAACTAATCAAGCTAGGTCCAAAGTTATGTGTTTATGTGTGTACTATATACAGATTATATATATAATATAATATATAATATATGCTATGTACTCGTACAGTTTAGATTCTAGATACTCAAGCCTGATGGGTGGATGCTTTGGCCTTGGTATTCGCAGCCAAACTCAATCAAGACGAGCCAGAACAATAACCACTTGCATGCCAGTGAGTCGAGGGGACGAACTGGGGGAGGATACTGTTTTTTTCTGCTTTTGCCCGATTCATCCTGATGGTTTTTCTCCTTTGCGTGATGATGCTGTGGCCAATCGGCGGCGGCATGGAAATGACATTGGACTTCAGAGCAGGGTGGCCATCACTCCAAGCCACCCGCACAACTTACCTTCCTTTGGTCAGGGTGGTCGGCGGCTCTTCTCAGAGAGGTGCACATGGAGCAACTAATTTGTCCATGCTATTTCAAGGTTCCCGTATGGTGCGGCTCTTCCGGCAAGCGAGCATTGCACCCTGCTGAATTCAACAAAAGGATCGGTGTGTTCGGGATTGTGGGGCATATGGGTGTATGGAGGTCCGTAGAGGGTCGAACGGTCTAAGACTATGTGTGTAGGGTGCTTCCTCTCAGCAAGCTAGGTGTGGCCTACACAAACTCGCTGGGACCTGCAGGTGCTTTGGCAACCATGCGGTACGAGCCAATGGCCAGAGCTTGCAGGAAAGACTTTGCATCTATCGGGTGGGGGGTTGGAGCAGTGTCAATATGCAGAGACCCAGCGAGTGCTAGCCTTTGCAAAATCGGCTGATGCGAAACGGGGATTTCTTCTTTTGACGCGCGCTGGAGAGATTGGCATTTTTTCTCAGCAAGGCCTGGAAACAACACCCTTCAAGTGGCAATCACTGTCAACAGATCGCTGGTATTTGCTCAGAGCTGTTGGCGGCAATGGCACTACGAGTTTTTATTGCAACGGAAGGAGGGTCGGCACAGTTTCTGGAGATCCTGGTAACTATTGGCCAGAAAGGTTTGCTGGGGACTTGGATGCTAAGAATCCACAGGGGGCGGGTCGCATTCGCAGAATACGATTTCGGCTTCAGCAGCCCCAGAACAATTCGGCGAATACCTACAAGCAGTGCAACTTCTAGAAACATCGCGGGGAAGTTGCTCATGTATCCGTGCTGGCGAAGCACTTCACGATGTGTTGTCAGAATCCGACAGTGTCATGGAAGAAGTGAAATGAAGGGCCAACCTGGTACTCATACTGTAGTGGCCTAGTTTTGCTCAAGCTATCTGAAGCTCAAATTGTCGTTTCACCTGTTCAGCTGGAGTGCAGTTGTTTTGCATGAATGCTTTGCCGACTTGACTTGCCAGCTGAAGTGCTAAAGTGATCTAAAGTGTGCAAAGCACATATTATGTGCTATATATACTGTACATATTCTTGAGGGTCTTTGGACTTTTGTATTGCGCCCCCCCTGAATGTGCAGCTTTCGGTCAGATAGTGGTCGTTGTGCACCATCTTGAGGCTGGCTGCCACGCGACCTTGTCTGAGGTCTTGGTGACGCCTGGCCCCTAGTCGTTCTGCCTTTGTTCCTAGTAGCGTCCTTGCTCCTAGCAGTACGACCAGGAGCTTCTTGCTCCTAGAAATGCCCTTTGTTACTAGTCGTTCGTGTTAGATTCTTTCCAAAGCGGTGGACGCCTACTGCACATAGGTGGACGGCCTGAACTGGACAGCGGTCTTTACTTTGATTGGCTTTGATCCCGCAGGCACCCTGAGACTCAAGCCATGATTCAATGACACGAGTTTGCCTGACAGACATGACTCAATTGTGACGCAATGCATCATCACACAGTAATTATAGAAAGCATGCCAAGAGGAACATTGGCATACATCAACATGATTGCAGCTTGAGATTAGAAACCCCGACAGCACGCGCTGGCGGCATGGTGTGGCCTGCCAATTAAAGCTCCCATGTGCTCACGGAGCTTTGTGGTCCAGAGGCGAAATGCCAAGACTTTGGCCAGATACAATTTAGGAGAAACCTTGGGCAGCGGTTCGTTTGGTGCTGTGGTGCGGGCGACCGATCGAATCTCTGGAGCCCCTAGAGCGTGGAAGGCGCTGCAGAAGGGCCACTTGGAGTGGAAGGCGTGGCATTGGTGGAAGGGACCTAAGGGATCAGGCGTAGCAACTAAGTAGGATCGGGTAGCAGATGGTAGGGGCCCCTCGTCCTCTGGTCCCCTGGTCCTTTGGTCCCCTGGTCCTCTGGTTGGGGGGCAGGGCATCGTCTGTGCACGCGAAATGTGCGTCGTTTGTGCACGCGGACTTCATTGACTCACTCGCCCACTCACTCACTCACTCACCCTTTGTGGGCCACATGAGGGTAAAATTTAGAGTGGGAAGGAGCCATTACAACATAGCACCCCTTTTGTGGGCCACCCGAGGGTAAAATTTAGAGTAGGAAGAAGCCATTGCAACGTAGCATT